AGAATAGGCTCTCGGTTTTCTCCTCTTTTCACCCCCTTTTCATAATTATAGTTGTTTCAGCTACACAGTACATGGGTTTTTAAATAAGACATCATGTTAGGTGTCACCATCTGACTTCCACGAAAGCCAGGATGGTGAGAGATGCTTTATTTTATAGTTCTGTACAGTACTGTTAAAATATTTTGGTCCAACGGAAATAATGTTGGAACCGGGATTGTGTGTAGTTTGTGTAAACTCCTGTGCACGGGAAGCCCACGTTTGCTTGTTGCTGCGAGGTTTACAGAGGAACCCAGCCATTATGCTTGTTCAGATTCCAACTGATCTCCCAGTAATAGTAATCTTTAGCATTTATGAAGTGTTTCAAAGCATTCGGTAGGCTTCGCATAATCTTTTAACAGCTGGTGTGGGAGGTTCACGTATGGTGGCAGGAGGAGAGAACAGGTGAGGCCGCTGAGCGTATTTGTGACAGAGGCAAGATTCAAGTCAGGATTTCCAGATGTGCTGTTCAGACTTTCAGCCATGGCACAGTAAGAGCGGCGTTTCATCAGCTCTCAGTCATAAATTTAAAAACAAATCAATTAGCTTTCCTTCTGCCTTAAAAACAGGTCTATTTTTACCACCAGGCCTCCCTCTGAAACATGATTTGAACAGCTTACCATTCAATTCATTCAGGCGTGACCATATTTTGCATAGCTTATGTTATAAAAAGGAATGGGGGTGGGGTAGCAAGTTTTTTATTTTTTAAAAACAGGACTGGGAAGCCCTGACTCATGAGTTCTATTTTTGTCTGTGCTACTGACTCACTAGGATCATCCTACAGAAATACCGAACGTTGCTGTCTTAATTTATTGTAAGTAAAATTAAGAGAGAAAAAGCTGTTTTCTTCAAACTCCTCCTCCTTAGCGTATTGTCACAATTTTTAAATACTCAGAATTCAGGCAGTTCCCCAGTTAATGAAATCTGCCTTGATCTATAAAGTTCATTTGATTGATGAATCACTTGACCAATTATAAAAAAGTTTTTAAGTCTTAAAAATAGCTTTCCTCCTTCTTTCCTGACCGATATCTTTAAGTGTTATAAACAGCCAGGGACTTTTATGTCTGCAGAGTTTTCCCTGTAATCTGTTATAAGACTTTTATATTCTACAGACATTAGCCTGGTTTAAACATCACAGTAATCCCTGCTTTATTGTTACGTGCACGAGTAGTCTTTGGCTCAAATGCAATGTCCTCTGTTCTTTCCAGTTCTCTCGAAAGGAAACCAGAGAGTTTTTTGTTTACATTTTCAGTTCACCAAGGTTTAGTATAACATCCAAGTCCTAAGCTGTGGTTAATTTTAACCATAGTTAATATTGAACAATAGAGATTGACACAAATTCCTAGTTCTGCGTTTTGTGCTGTTTTGTTTCTGGTTTTTTTTCTGCTGGACGAATGTTTGGCATTTCTCAGCCCTGCCTCCTCTGGCAGGCACCCACTGAGAGGCAGCACCTGAAGGATGTGGGGCCTGGAAGCCAGGTCTCTACCCCTGAGCGGGCGCCTGCCTGAGGAGGCAGGTGTAGGAAGCGCCAAACATGTGTTTGGCTGAAAAACAAACTGGGATGAACCGCCAAACCAGTTGTGCCCATCTCTACTCAACAGACTTTGTCCACGTTCAGACATAAGCCTGAATGCAGAAGGTCAACACTGGAAGTAAAATATAATATCAAACATGGTTTCCCTGTATCCAGCATTCTAATAACAATAGCATATGTTTCTCCTGCATCTTTCGTAAATTTGTGGAGAAGCGTACTGAGACTTGATGATACTGTCAGGGTCCTTGATATTTTGACGTCGGTCCCTCCAATACACATCAGTTAATTTGTAGCCTGTCAGTTGAAGTGCTTGATCTTCATAGCAGTCTGGAACACTGAACTGACGCTGCTTGAATACTGTAGTTTTGTTCGGTGTTGCAGTATATCTTTATATTTGTTTGCCCTTCATTTTCACAATCAAAGCAAAAAAAGGGGGCAGGGAGGGAGTGCTTCTCACTTCATAGCTGCTCTGGAAGCTGGTGGGGTGGCCTGAGTCTCATTCAGGTAGCATGCATCCAGGGATGGCCCTTCATCATAACTTTCCCCTCTCTGCCCTGAGGTTTCTCAACGTGTAACTCTTAAGAATGGATTCTGGAGATCCTGAGTTTTGCTTGCAGTGTTGCAGCATTTTAATTGTACCAAATGAAGGAGCATTTGGTTGTGGTGGACCAATTTAGCCCCTTCCTACCTCCAAAGCAAAAGCAAAAGCCCTACAGAATGTCAGAACCAATACAGTGGTGCCTCACAAAACGAGCGCCCCGTCGAGCGATGAATTCGCTCTACGAGGATGTTTTCATGATCGCAAATGCGATCGCATACCGATGGCCCCTATGGCCGAAAATCGCAGAGCGAAGGTCGGTAAGCGGTTCGCTTACCGGCCTTCGCTTTGCGCCCCGCTGATCAGCTGTTCGGCGGCTACAAAATGGCCGCCGGAAGCCGCAAAATGGCCTCGCGCAGCGTTTTCGCGCCCTCGTTAAGCGAGGGGAGGGCGCGAAAATGGCTGCCGGCCATAGAGGAACATCGCTGAACGGTGAGTAAAGGAGCCTTTTGAGAATTTCTCGATGAATTTGGAAGTTGTTGGGAATTAAAAGTTCCTGGCATTTTTTTTCCTGACTCAAAGCAAAGCTTATAATTGCTTGGTTCTGCCACAGAACAAGTGTGACAACATTTAATTTATGGGTGGTTGTGCTATGATTATAGAAAGTCTCTTCCATCGGTACACACACACACACACACAAATCAGAGAGAGAGAGAGAGAGAGTTCCATAAATATCAGGCTATTTATACATATTACAAGAGTTAAGTCAACAGTGCTATGTATAAACTTGAGGTGAACAAAGTAGAATGGACTGGATTAGGACACTTTGGGTCAGATAATTGCAAAAACGTTCTTCTCTCAAAAGGGTAAATTCAGAAGGAGCAATATGGCTTTAATCGTGGCGTGAGACACAGGGCAGGCAGTTAGGGGGCTATAACACCCTCAAGGAGCAATGCTTGACCAGTTGAGTGGGAAAAGTAACTCTCCATGTTTGTGAACTAAGATGAACTCATATATAAAATCAGTTTTATAATATTTGATATGTAAATGAAAATAGCACTCTTTATTACCCCCCCTCCCAACATGGAGAGATGTACCGCTGGGACAGAACACCATTCATATTTCACAGGGTGAAAAGTTAAATATTGAGATACAATGAAAGTATGGAAAATGAGCTTGTGAAATTTTGATATGAACAATTGATCTATTTTTGCAAATCCATGACACTTTTAATATTCTTATGTTAATCTCATCTGTTTTGTGGTGTGTTTTGTTTTCTCTGATCTTCAGTGTTTTTCTAAGTGTATTTTTAAAACAGATTTGACTGCTTTATTTACTCATCTTGATTTTGGCAGGTCACATACATGAAATCTCAGAAACGGTTAAATTAAATGCACGTTGATGGTCCTACCATCAAATAGGTATCAGTCTCAGTGCACGTCATATAGCAGCCTTGCTAAAGTTGATCAGAGATGATACTGGAGATTACTTGGTGTGTTTGCCCGTGCCTCTTCTGAGTCACATTATGGAAGAAAGGTGAGGGTATAAATGTAGCAAATAAATATAATAAAATATTGAAATGCAGTATAATTGATTGCTAGGTTTACCCATCAATAGATATGCTGCTCTGTGAGTATTTAGACACTATTTGCATGTTCAGAAACCAGCTAATTAATGTCACAATTTTGAAAGGAGATTTTTCTGGGAGGAAACTTAGGAATAAGTGCTCATTATACCAATTATACATTTATTCCTCTCTGTTCTCCAGGTTTGTGCTACATCCATCCTCAAAATAAGATACTTACATTTCCTTTCAAATATTTTACATTTGATGTTGATTTCAGGGTGTTTCTTCTTTCTTTATGTAGCTAAATCTGCGCTGCGGCAAAGAAGTCTGTGCCTTCTTTAGCAGGAATATGGTGCCGCTGAAGGTTGTCTCAAGTTCACAGCTGTCTCACCAACTAACCATTTCTCTGTGACACAAAATGCCTTGCGCAGTTGAGTTTCGAGCCACATTGCAGGACCTCTTTACTGAGCATGCTTAGATGCTCGTTGTTTTGGTCAACACCAAGAGCTGCTGTCCAAGACATTTTCCCCTCCTTGCCCCATTTCTTTCAAAGCACCCTTGCCGAACCCAGTGTTTTCGGATCTGTTCATCTGCAGCATGCACGATCTTGAATCTCTCAAGGGTACCAGGCTTTTTCAAAGTGTCTTGCACAGGAGATGTGCTGTAGCTTGACTGCTCTGCTAATAGGACAGATGGTCTGTAAAACTGGGTTTCTCCTCAGAATGGAGTGGAACAAAGAGAAGAATTATGATATATTTGGCCTGTGTATACAAAGTAATTGTATACAAATTGTAGAATGTCAGAGTGAAACAATGTCTTTCTGAGGAATGAGGATGTCGGTTGTGTGGTTTTGGTGAAAGAGGCCGATATATTCATCCTTTTGAGTGAAAGTGTGACTGGTGTCCAGATTTTTTTGAATACACGTCCCAGAATTCCCAAGGTATTGTGGAAATCCACAAATAAACATACCTCTAATTGTACATAAAGGGGACCCCAGTGTGGTGTAGTGGGTCGAGTAATGGATTAGTGCTCAAGAGACTTGGGTCCGGATGCTGGCTCCGCCATGGAAACTCAGTGAAGATGAGCCACTGGTAAAAGGAAGACTCAAGAAACCCGCACGGTTAGGATCGTGACAAGTTAGATCCGACTTGTCAGTCTACGACAACAACAGATTTTAACTATAAGTGAATGTTTGGGTGAAGAGCAGCTGAGAACTCTTTATTATTATAGCCAGATGCCGGTTCGGTTGTGCTGAGTCCCGTCCTTGGTGTTCCCACGACTGCGCATCAGTATCACTCCCGGTGTTGTTCTTCTTGTCTCCGCAGTGCCCTTAAAGATAGCCGATTCCCCCCAATGACGAGGGATGAGCTGCCAAGGCTTTTCTGTTCAGTGTCTCTACTTACTAATTTTGAAGATGTCTGTGATTACTTAGACTGGGAGGTAAGTCCTTCATTATACAAGGAGTTGTTGCTCTGTTGGCCGCCATTTCTCCATCATCCTTGTTAAAGCAGTTGAGCAGCGGATGTCTTGAAATCAAGCCTTCCGTTGGGGTCTGTCAGGTTATGTAGTTCACGGGCACCCCATAAGCCTATGCAGTCACTTTGCCCTCGGCTATCCTTTCCCCACAACTGACTCACCCGACCATCCTGAAGACCCTTTTCCTCACTCAGGTTCTAAACCCACGTTTGACCTCTTTCAAATGCAGGGGAGGGCCATATGGTGGATCGCTTCCCATACCAAACCAAGGAGGGCTGGCAGATTGGCATGCGTCCATTCAAAAATAAAAACGAGATGTCAGGGAAGAAGTCTTCAAGCCAGGATTTCTCCCTGATGCATTTGTTTCTAGTACGTGTCAAACATTTCTGCCACTCAGGAAGTGGTACAAGCTTACTCGCTCAGTGGGAGTTAGGGCCTCAGAGAGAGCTTTGACGGATTGCAGCCGACATGTTCTTGATTGTCATAATAAAAAGAATCACGCAGGCAACACAGAAAGAACAAAATAAATTGTCCCTTGTCTCATTTGTTCCATATATATTATGGAAACAGCAGCACCCACACACAAGCAGTTATTAAAAAAAATACACATGGTTCTTTGTGAGCACGAAATGCCTGTTGAACAAGAGAGATTGTTAGCGTATGTTTAAGTCTCCTAAGTGTATTGAGCAATTTGCAGTGGGTGTTTCAAGAGTCTTCTGAAAAGGTATCACTTAACGACAATAGCATGGATAGGATCATCACGAAAAGCCAGCCTTCTGCTTTGATAGCCGCCAGATAAGCAGGAATACTGGATTTTGGAGGGTGGAGGGACAGTTCCTAAGAAAGTCAACAATTAACACACCCTTAATTTAACCCTCATCACATTTAAAATATGCAGTCTTTTAAGCCTCTGCTGTGCTTTATAAGTTCCCTGAAAAGATTGTAAATGATATTGAGGAATAGAAAGTGTGAGGTAATACTAATTAACACTCAGGAGGAGGAGAATGTCCATGACAGATGATTTAGAGAGGCTTCTGATCCCTGAGTTTTTATATTGTAAGTCAGAACCCCCTTTGTGGTTCTTCTTTGAAAACAAAGCAAACAATATAAGAGATATTTACATAATATGAATAGGTTTCCCTCCCCCCTCCCTGCTACAATTCTGTACCTCTAGAAATTCTGATGGCTGTTTCTAAGCTGTAAAAAAGTGCCATTTCTTGGTTTTATTGCAGGTATTCCTCTAACAACTTCATCCATTCACTATGCACTTTTGCCTGTGACTTTGCAGGCTTTGAGTGGGTGCTCCATGTGGATAAACTATGGCACGGTTGCGGCAATTTATACTCCCTTTTCACGCTGAAATAAAAATAGGGCAAAGATTTAGACATTCTTTTAAATAACAGTAATTAATGGCAAAACAGGAGACGGGTATTCTTGGAAACGGCTTTTTAAAGCAGTCCTGACAGTTTACAGTAGTCAAGTTATAGATACAGGACTCTTATGTCGCAAAGAATACAGTTTTTTGAATAGTAGCCATGTGGATTCAGATCTTGTCAAAGTAGCTATTGCTTCCTTCCATTTAGCACATAAATTAGCAGAAATGAAACATAACTTAAAGCCAGCTTATAACATTTTCTCGTGTACATGATTCTCTCCCCCCCAAAAAAATACATTACCAAATGAGTGTAGGATGTATAACTGTACTGGGGAGCAGCAGAATGTCTGTCAGGCACAACCAGCTTCAGATGACCGGGTAATAAAAACAATTAAAAAAAAAAGGTCTTTCTATATCTGAGTGCCTGCTGGTTATCCTCTCTGATCTCTATTCAGAGCACTTGTTTTTGGAGAAAAGTTATCCTCTGTTTGTTTTTGAATCTTTAATTCCTTCTGGGAGTGTGGGGGCAGGGGAAAGGCAGTCAAGGAAGGGGGTCAGTCCAGGACCCGTGGCCGTAACTACACATTGCCTTGTCAGACTAGCTTCTCTGAGGTATATGGTAGCCCACCTTCCCTCAGCTCTCCTCTAGAAAAGTCCCGTCCAGATCTCCCACTTTTACTCCACTGGGCATATTTCCAGCTTATGGACGAGGAAAGTCAAATGGGATGAAAAATAGCTTGAAATGTTATTTATATGAAGTACGAGGGCACCATGAGGCTGTTGATGATCTTGTGGGAGCTAATCCAGCAATTTGCTGAAAGGATGCAAAACTCTTTCACAATTTGGAGTGCTGAGATGTCTCTCCAGGCTGCAGTGGTTTGCTGAGACCCAGCAAAGTTAAAGGTTGGAGTTTATTTCACCTGGCGAGTAAGCCCGGGTTCTTCCGGTTGAGAAGATTGACGTCTTTAGTGCAGTGTTTCCCAGTCTGGGGGTGTGACCCCCAAGGGGGTTGCAGAGTGTTTTCTGGGAGGTGTTGTAGCCCTTGCTAAATTTCTTCCTTGACCTTTCAGAGCAGGTTCTTAAAATTAGCATATACTATATGTGTATGTATGAGAAACAGGTCCTTTGGGGAGAGAAAAAAGCCTCTAGTTTCTGAGAAAGGGACCACTGTACTCCATTAAAAATGCCTTTTCATGCAAACGTGGCAGCAGGGTCACAGATTACTAGGCTATTATAAAAGGGGGTTGCAACTCGGGGGAAAAATTGGGAACCATTGCTTTAGTGGGTGCAAATCTGGAAAGCTTTCCTTAAAATAAAAATAAAACACTCAGGCATGGGAACAAGAAGAGAGGAAGGAGTGAATTGGCTGCTGTTAGCTCCCCATATGGTTTTTCAAATTGCTGCTATTTTCACCTATTGTTTCAATTTAATTTGCACATTCTTCTAGCTGCTTACCAAAAGGACTCGCTTGGGACCAGAAAGTGCAAGTGCAGGCCTTTCATGTCATCTTCTGTGGCACAGCGAATGTGTGATTCCACACTGCGCATCAGCTCACACTTGGGGGTGGGGGCTGTAACGGGGAGTGGGCACATGGCTTGATCATGCCACGAGCATCAGGAGCATCATCATCTCTTGCTCTCCCTCCCACAACCTTTTCCCCTTCCTTAAGCTTGGTCCCCACCTTAATCAGGAACGCAGATCTCTAGAATCTGAAGCATCTCACAGGATTAAAGAAAACTACCGGGCCGTTCATGCTTTGTTCAGAGATGATGATGAGCTGGCTGCATAGCCAGGTGAGGCTCACCTCCAGATTTTGGGGGCGTTCCCCCTCTCCAATCATAAGCTGCCTACCACTCTTGACCAGTGCCTGCGATGGGTTCCAAGCTCATTGCCAGCCAAGGAAGAGGACGATCTGTGTCACAGTCTCTAGGGATGTGCTAACAGTGGCCCTAGAGAGACCCACACCCCGGTAGACCCTTGGCTGGATTTGATATAACTTTCCGTGGCCCATTTTCCAGCTGGAACAGGGACTGGAGTTTGGATGTGGCTTTGTCTTTGCAAATAAGAAGGGTGCTTGCTTGCCGATCATTTCACTGACATCCAAACAGGCTTGCTTGTTTTTGTTTTTTCCTAGCCATTGGTATGTGTGTGAGAGGGCATGGAATTTTGATTTTCTCTTTTCTCTCGTAACATTTCCAGATCCTTATTCCTTTAAGCACAGCTGGCCCTCTCCCTAAACTTAAAATAGGTAGCCCTTCCAAGTCAGAAATTCTCAAAACTGAGATTTCTCTCTCACTCTCTGTCTCATACAGTCACAGACATGGTACTCTTGCCTTTCTGCTCTTAATGGCTGGCAAGATGTCATGTTTTCAGAACCCCTCTCTTTCCCTGAGTGTGTTGTAAAGACGCCCTGCAAAACCATGATCATTTCCTTTGGTTGCTGAGCACCCTGGGGGGAGAATCAGAACAGCTGGTCGTTGGAAGATTCCTGTTCATCCCAGGACTGAACCAGTGAAGGTCCCAGGAGACACATCCATAGGTTGTTAAGGCTGAGTGCGCAGGATGTTGTGAAAATTGAGGACGGGATTGCTCTTGTTGGACAGTCCTGTCCGTCCCCAAGCAGGTTCCCCTGGTGTTCTCTCTGTAAGTAATCCTAAGTTGTGGTGTTCTCCTTTTAATAAACTCGTCGTGTGGTGCCTAAGTTTATGAAGAATGTATTGCAGTTCTGTGCTTTGCTGCAAAACTTGGGAAACGATTCTTCCGTATGAGGTTTCACCAGTAGAATCGGACCTGTGTTGCCATGCACTTTATTGGAATAGTTCTTCATGTATATTACATCAGACTGTCACCCCTTACTTCTCATTTGCAGAAATTAAGGGTAAAGCCTAGAATTTTGTCCATAAAGAAGGTTGAAGATGATAGAGCACAGGTTCAGGGACTTGGTTTACTGGTATGAAAAATGCCTTATTATAGAAAAGTATTTTCTCAAAGAGTTTTAAAAAGAGTCCATAGTTCAGTTTTTTTCTAGAAAAAGTTTTGTTTGACCCCATTGACCCCATCTCTTGGGTGACAGGAGCTGGCTTTTCCAGCTTCAGCCCCCTTTTTCCTGAAGATGTTGGTCCTAACCTCAGTCATTCTTGCTGTAGTCACATAGGTCACATTAATCAGATTACTCTAATGCACTTTACACAGGACGGACTGCCCTTAAGACAGCCAAGAAATTTCATTCGGTCCAGAACGTGCCACCAGGATTACGTCTGCAGCCAAAGGAGTGGACTATTTTAGGCCAAACCTTTACCAGCCTTACTGGTTGCCAGTTTGCTTTCTAGCTCAGTTCAGGGGGCTGATTTTGCCCTGGTAAACCCTTTAACATTGGGACGTGGTGGCACTGCAGGTTAAACCACAGAAGCCTCTGTGCTGCAAGGTCAGAAGACCAGCCATCGTAATATTGAATCGACACAACGGAGTGAGCTCCTGTCGCTTGTCCCAGTTCCTGCCAACTTAGCCATTTGAAAGCAAGTAAAAATGCAAGTAGATAAATAGGTACCACCTCGGTGGGAAGGTCACGGTGTTCCGTGTCTAGTCGCGCTGGCCACGTGACCACAGAGACTGTCTTCGGACAAACGCTGGCTCTACGGCTTGGAAACGGGGACGAGCACCGCTCCCTAGAGTCGGACACAACTGGACTAAATGTCAAGGGGAACCTTTACCTTAAAGCCTTTAAAATGGCCTGGGACTGTGATGTTTTAGAAATCATCTCTTCCCTGCAAGTGAATTTCACTCACATCTGGTAGATGCACAAGAGAGCCATTTCTGTCAAAGCACCCAGAATATGAAATACGGATGTATAGAGGGCCCCGCAGGTCCTTTTCTCTGTCCACTTTTAAGTCAGCCTTGGAAATGTTCCTGCGCCAGTGCATGTTGTCAGAGTGACACCCTGTTTAGTCTGCTGCTTCCATCACATCTGATTTGCATTTAGTTGTTTTATACTGCTATTAGCTGAACACGTTTTTGGGGAGTGTTTTCATTTCTGATACTGAAAGCTGTCTTGAATATATTCCACTACAGAAAAGCAGTATATATTCATGGAACCCTGATTCCGATTGATAAATCTTAATGAGAGTAGGCTTATTAAATCATTGAGATGGATTTAAGTGTGGACTCCCTATTCAGCACTTCATGGGTCCGCTGTAGCTGAGACTAGATATTGGATACAAGCCCATGAAAATAAATATACAAGTAGACACTGTCAAGTTTGTTTATTGCTCTGTAAGCCACTCTTGAGAGCAGCTAAATAAATAAGTACTTGTTGGCTAAATAAATGAATGCTTAATTGAGTAGAGTCAAGGCATCGTGAATGCACCAACCTTCCTTAATTTTTCTGTTTCCTTTGTGACCTTTTGCTCGTTTCCTGCAAAATTCTGGCTTTTGAAAGGAATAAATACATCAACCTCACAGACAGGTGCTTAGACCCTTGATTCTGCAGAGGTTATGTACATACAATGGGGGGAAATCCTCAATACTAACTCTCTTTTGCATAATCCTGAAAGATATCAAATTATACATCGGCTTCGAAATCAAATTGTTGTTTGGGATCAGTTTGTTATCACCTTGCCATTTCCTGCCCCTGCAGTTCACCCTGGCGGTTCTGCTAAATCTCTGGGCCATCTTCCAACACCAGCACTTTTAGGGCTGAACGTGAATCTCAGCCCACAATGTTTCCTTGGTTGACGTTGATTGCTCTCATTGAGAGACCTTAGGCAGTTATGTTCTGTTTTTTTTAAAAAAACATTGTTTCGTAGAGGAACCAGCTCAGACTGAAAATAAAAACTAGCCTCTGGAGACCAGTTACGTTATACATCAGCTGTTGCATGTTTGAATTATTAGCGGCTTCTTTGAGAAACAATTCATGGTTCAGTTTCACAGACAGAGACCGGCATTGACGCATAAGAGCATTCCAGCCATTTCCCCCAATGCAGTACAATCTGGATGATCCCCATATATAGCATTGCCTATAAAGAAGTGCCCTGTGTCAACAATAGCTGTGGATTATTGAAGCCTCCCGAATCTGGAAGCTTGTTGTCAGACTGCTAGGGGTTTCTTCAGAGCCAGCTTCCTGGCAGATCCTTCCCCCGAGATGGACAAGAGGGATGATGCGGAAAGGAAAAGGGTGGGTTGGTATGAATGAATGGCCACTGATTATTAAATTCATCCTGGTGTCGGTACTCTTAGACCAGGAAGTTCTGTATACACCTGCGTGCAATGTACATTAGACTTCGGAAGGATAATTAACAAGAGTGCTCCTTCTTACCCTTATGGTGATGTGACAGTGAAAATAACCTTGTGTGATACCATAAAATATACTTTGTTGTGTTAAGGGGGTGTTCAGCATCACTTTTCTGTGCTTTTGTCAGTCTGAGTCCCCCTCCTCCCAGAGAAGAGTTCAGTTCTCTTAATTTCATTTGAATGGAAGTGTGTGTGTGTGTGTGTGTTTGTGTGTGTGTGTTTAACCACCACTTTCCCAGTCACTTTATCAGTAAGTGCAATGAATGTTACAAGGATAACTAGCACATATAGATTGTGAAAACTCAGGTATACTTAATTAGGGTGTTCTTGGCATTAAATCAAGTGTAACACATCTCTCTGAGGCAGTCCTAGTAACAAAACCAATTAAATTTTGGAAGGAACTTGGATTCAAACCTTAGGCCTTGTGCCAGCTATATAAAAGCTACAAATGCTTTCAGTTTAACCTTTCATGGAGAAAAAAAACCCACCAAGGTTGTCTTCCTCGCTTGGTAGGAACTCCCATGTTTTAATTCTCAGGGTGACCACGGAGCACATTATGTGAAGAAAAACTGGTATGTTGTGGGTTTTTTTGCTCTTATTTCTCTGAGGCGAAGACTCAGTTCTGTCTAAATAAACAGAAAGTGGCCCACGTTCGGTGGTTCCCGAAGGTGCAGGCGGCTCACGGTTCCTGCACGCATCTGATGTAAACCCCATAGAAATGCTGTCTCCCCGCCAGTTGTATAGGTTTCTGTTTGGAGCGTTGGGTGTGCAGGTGGCTCTTGTACCCCTTGCAGGAGTGAGGGTGTCATCCTGTGCCTTGCCCTGAAAAAGAGTTTTAAGCCGGAGGTGGGTTGCCTGGCCGGACCTTTCCTCACAATGCTTTCTCATCCATTGAGTTCTCCCAAGCTGGCTGGGCCACCTGTTGGAATAGGGACTGGGTTCTGCTCTAATGCTTTGGTAAGTCTCTGTGTATCCCCGAAATTGTGTGAGTTGTTTCGTTTTGTTTTGCTCAAGCACTGAGGGTAGGAGCCTCAGCAGAAGTTAACCTCCAGTCCCTTCTGACCTACGGCAGGGCCAATAGGCTCACGAAAGTTACATTAAGAAGGAACTTCCTTGGTCTTATCAAAGATGCAGGCGGAATCTTGCTCTTTATTTTCTAAGCAAAGAACAGGGTTTCTTCCCCACCCCCCTTTGGCTTTCTGAATCTCTAAGGGCTAGATTACTGTAATAGGACTCTTTCCAAGCTAAAAGGGAAAACAAGGTCAAATACTGAGACCTTTCAAAAATAGTAATAACGCCGAACTGATTCCTTGGGGTTTATATTTCTAACCATCTCTTTGATTTCTTTTTCCCATTTTGAAAAAAAAATGTACTAATAAACCTGCCCATTTCTTTCAGGTGGGTGTACATGGCATTAGAATAGAATTCATCAATGAAAAAGGATCAAAACGCACCGCCACGTACTTACCGGAGGTTGCAAAGGAGCAAGGTCATTGTTGCACTTTATCTCATATGATCTGGTGAAGAATTTAAACATACCCTAGGAACTTAAAATGCAATATTTGACCTTGCACAGATGTCAGATGATGGAACAGTACTTTCATTGTAAGGGATGACTCTTTTTTTAAATGACACTTATGTATCCGTAGAAAATAAGCCCCTTTCTCAGGAATGCTCCCCTAAACTGCAGTTAATCTAGTAATGTGCTGAAATAACTGGCTGGAGTAAGTTGCCAAGTGGCAGCCACAGCGGGTGGAATACTGAGGCCCACACAACGCCACACGTGGCTTTTATATCAGTAATACGCCAAGCCCTTTTGAGTCCATGATCACTTGCTTGTTCGTGACAGTATTTGCATTTGTTTTTACGTTTCTTCCTCTCTGACTGTCACTAATGGTACTTAAATTGATATTTTGGCTTGCCACTGTTTTGGGTTCAGGTGGAAATAAATCTCTCGTGCCTGCTAGGGTATTTTGGGGGGGAGGACAGGGTCTTTTTCCACTGTACTTTCAAAAAATACAGCTAGGGTGTTTTGGGGGGGGGGGGCAGGGTCTTTTTCCACTGTACTTCCAAAAAATACAATGTGTGAATGAGTGGAAAGGATCTGGAAACGCAGATTATGCAGGTCAAGACTGTGAGCTAGTTACACATACCCCGCTGAAGTGTGCAGGGAGTGCCAACGGTTGGATTTACTGCCATAGGAGGTGTGGAATAGTCCTAAGGCTACGAGCAGATGGCATGAAGAAGTCACCATAGAGATGAGGGAAAGACCAAAGCGAGATGCTGTCCCTGCCTGTGGATGCAGAGTGGGGTCACTCTATCCATTGACCTCTCTGATGAAAACTCAACGTAGAGTTTGCACTAGAAATTGAAGGTGGACGTTCGTTCCATTTTGGACAGTAGTGTCAGTAAGGGCTTCCACTGGTGTGCAGCTCTGCCCCTGGCTGTCTTTCTGTCTCGACATGCACACAGTACTTAGGGTTCCCATCAGATTCTGTCATGAAAGGCCGCCCTGCCTGGCCGTCTTAAGAAAAACATGGGGCTCCCCAGCTCATCATTTGGGGAAGTTCTATGAATTTTTTTTCATGCCCTGTTTATACAAAATGAAGCTGCTAATGTGTGCCTTTTCTCATCTAGCTATTTTTGTTCCTCCCACCTTCTTTTCCCCCTGCGTTCTTGCGTTGGCTGCACTTTTGTGTCTCTCCATCTGTAGGCTTTATATATTTGAAAATGCAGTCGGGATGACCCTCGGTAGGCAATTCCCTGCGAGTCGTGGGAAAGGCCACTTAAAATCTCCCATATTAGAAAGTCGGGATCACTGTTCATCTCGTGTCTCTGGAAATTGGCATCTTCTAAGACACAGTGGTGTTCTCGTTAAGCTGTCAGGGCTGCTGGGTTTTCAGGGCACATCCAACCAGGAAAAGTAAAATCCCATCAGTAGCAAAGTAGCCGTTAGCATAATCCATAATCCACTGCACAACCTCCATTCATGAACACCATTGACATGAGCAAGGGTTGAGCATGAATCGGGCTTGGCTGGATTATATTTTGGGTTGTTTTTGGTGGGGTTTTTTTTCTGGGGAAAAATATTTTCTGTACATTGCTACGATGCAGCCTCTTTCACAGGAGTTCACACATCTGCTGTTTACCATTTTATACAAAAATGAAACACGTTTTATTTGAACGATCCATTAGACCAGGCTTCTTCTAGGCCAATCCAAATTCTTGATCATTATTACCCGTTGATTATTGGTAATACAAATATAAATCAAGGGAAAAGACTGTAGTTTTGTTTTATTTCTTAATCTGCTTTCATTTTTATCCTGCTCTTCCTCTCTGGAGTTTTGGGCAGCACCTATGATCTCTGCCCTCTTTTTAAAAAAATCTTTATCGTAACCCTGTGAGGTTGCTGTGTAGCCTCTTTCTGTTGTTGCATTTTTCTTTTTGAACCTGTAGGGTAACGTAGGCTGAGGGGCGAGTAGCGACAACCCTAAGGTCACCTAGCCAGACGTCATGGCTGGGTGGAGATTTGAAGCTGGGTCTTCATACTCCAACCTTCCTCTCTGTGCACGTGCACCCCTGTGGCTTTCTGAGTAAAACAATGGAATGGAGGATGAAGTTTATTCTCTTTTGGTGCCAAGTAGAGATGGGCACGACTCTTGGTTTAGAGATTCATCTCGGTTCGTCCATGTGACACAATTTCCCCCACCTCCCCGGCTGGATCCCCCACTCACTAGCCAGCATCGGCTCCTCTCCGCCTCCTCTTTGGCTGTTCAGCCAGTCTCCGGCAGGAGCACAGGCTTCCCTGCCCTGCCTCCTGGGTTGATGGCCCACTCGGAGGAGGAGGTGGGACATCCAGGCAACCCCGTGCTCCTGCCGGGAACTGGTTGAACAGCCAGAGGAGGAGGAGAGGAGCATGTGCCAGCTGGTGAGTGGGTCATTGGCAAGGGGAAGGGAACGTGCAGCACCAAGCCCCAAACCGAGGTTCATGCGGATCTCTAGTGCTCAGGTTTGGGGTTTTCTTTACTTTGGGAAAGGCTAAGCTTCAACCAGTGGGCTTGTGAGGTTGCCATTGTATATGTGTATATGTGTGTGTGTGTGTGTATGCGTGCTTCTTATACATACCTTTTTTAAACAGTGTCTAGAAAGGAGACGGGCTTGTGAGGTTGCCATTGTATATGTGTGTGTGTATGTGTATGAGTGCTTCTTATACATACCTTTTTTAAACATTGTCTAGAAAGGAGAATCTTGTGCGACTTTTCATTAACATGGTATGGCAGTTTTGTCCCGTGGGAAGAGACAAACCCACTTTCATCTTGCGATAACATTGGGGGGGAAAATATGTGTGCATGCTACCTGGTTAGAGCCGAGGCTAAAGGGGGAAGTAATGATCCTTGATACAAAAGGTTTCCTGATACATTTTCTTTTTCTTTTTCTTAATGAACCTCTGCAGGATGGGACCATATTCAGACCATAGATTCCTTATTGAGGAAAGGGGGCTACAAAGCCCCCATTACAAATGATTTCAGGAAAACCATAAAACTGACCAGGTAAGAGGCGGCTTCTTCTTTTTCCCTTCAAATGGTTCTTTATGATTTGTCTCTCATATTTGGCCGTTTTCTACCCGTTTTTCTGCAGTACATCAGAAAGTAATGGCAAGACAACTTCACATTTGAGAAGAGATAATATTCTTTTCTCCTTAGAATCATTGAATAATGGAGTTGGAAGGACCCCTGAAGGCCATCGACTCCAACCCCCCTGCTTAAGGCAGGGGTCCAAATCAAAGCAGATCGGACAGATGGTCATCCAATTCTCTTTTGAATGCCTCCAGCATTGGAGCGCTCACCACCTTCCAAGATCATGGATTCCATTGTCGTACTGCTCTAACAGTTAAGAAGTTTTTTTCCTGATATTCAGCCTAAATCTGGCTTCCTGCAGCTTGAGCTCATTGTCCTTGAAAGTCATCCTTCCTTTTCCTGCTGGTCTTGGCGTCTGCTACTGGATCTAATAGGATCCAGTTGTGTGACGCAAATACTTTTCTGATTATGCAACATAAGGGTGTGGATCACCTCTCTAGAAGATTGAGGCCTGACCCCTGTGCTCTGGACCTTTCCCCTCCAATTTACTGCTAAAATCAGATGGAGCCAATTTGGGATTATGGTCCTCAGACGTCATCTGTGCCTTTGATGGGCCAGTCCCTATGGAAACAGTAGTGAGAAAAGGGTCCCCCCCCCCCAATGATCAAGAACATAAATCTGCTATTTTTCAGCAAGGTGATGAGGCAGGTAGTTTTAGAGGAAACTAGTTACCCGGGTCTGTATTCCAGTCTGGTTTCCAGATGCAGCCACAGGACAGAAACCACCTGGGTCATCTTGGTTAACACTTCCTGATGAGGAGTGGAATTGGTTAAAAGTAGAGGAGATGAGTGGACAAACCCACCGTGTCACACACCATTCATTGGGGTGCTAAAGTTAGGGTTTCAACGCTTTTCTGTATCCTCTCCCCAAAGATATAAACAAAAAAGATACAAGGAAGGAAAATATATAAGCTGCCCGAAAAAGGTTGTGCAACTCTCACATTTAAACTCCATTAACCACGCTCTCTGTTTTCAAAAATTAAATCCTGTAGTCAAAATATTTATGGGTTGTTAGGTCTTTAAAAGGCATTGTTTAGTAAACATGTCAAATAATGCAAACATGCTAAGCCAGACCATTCTCTGTTGAGCACAAATGGGAGGTTTTTCTCATTCAGAATGTTCCGGAAAACTCCCATCGGGATTCTTCTGTATCTTGAAGCTTTTCAACCTGTCCTCCTCAGTCGGGGGGGGGGGCTGTTCTCAGTGAACCCTACTGCCTCTTTTCACTTCTTATGATCTCAGTGTAAGTTTCAGAGATGTGTAGGAAGTTCGGATTTTTTTCACACGGTCCCTTGGTAAGCCTGCTGTATTTACACGTGGGCGGGCGGCAAGACATTCCCCCTCAGTCGAAGAAGACAGCTGCAATTAAGCAGCCTTCCTGAGGGGTTGCTGGAAGTTTGTTTCTTTCATAGGCTATGAAAGTAGGGAAATATTGAAAATCCTGTTTTTACCACAATGGCTGTCCCTTGTACCATCAGCATTTTAAAAAACAACATTGCTCCCTGGTGACCTATAAGAGACCACCTTGACCAAACCCTTGGACGGGACCCCTTTTCTGACACTAGCCAAGTGGACTCACCAGATGTTCAAGTAAACCTGGAAGGAACAAGAAGGTTGCTTCCAATTTCAGGAATGGTTTGAGAGACAATTGATAGACAGGTCATAGGGTGGTTGGAAGTCATGGATAGAGAAGCCCATTTGAATCCATGGAATTTAAAGAGGGGTTGACTCATCAAAGCCTCATTGATTCCGTAGGGCCTCCTCTAGTACAGTTTACTGCCCTAAGCAACAGGATGTTAGCCATTGCCTCTTAATACAGTCAGACTACGGTATCCACGAGGAATCATTTCCAAGCCCTGCCTCCCCGGACCAAAAAAATAATACAGGTGTATCAAACGCTATACATTGCCTGGTTTCTGGCTCCTTCTAGTGGCCAGTTCCAGTAAATATACCCTGCATATCCATAGAAATGTGTATTTCTTGGTGGGGGGGTTCACGTTATTTAATATTTTCAGGAAGCACGTACTGATCCCGAGAGTAGGAGGGTCATACTTCATTTTATGTAGATATAAACTATTCCGTGTAATGTCCTCCCTTTTATATGTGCTGGAGAGAGTACCATGAGCAGAGGACCCGATCCCTTCTACAAGCATGCAGTGTTTTCCCAGACGAACTGTAAAGTGGGCCAGCCGTCGGGCAGTCCTGACGGCCAGGTCACCTCCAGGGCAGCCCCCCTATTCAGGGTTATTCCACGCAAACTGGTGGTTGGCTCCCAGTGGGGCAAAAACGGCAAAAATGTGGCTTTTAGGAGCAAGGCACAGGGCTGGCATACCGGTGCTCATTCTAACTGGGGACCCCCTGAACTAGTGGCCGGCCTCAGTGAATATTTTTATAGCACCTCCTCTGCCCTCACGCTGCATTTGGGGTGGGGGCGGCAAAGGCAGCACTCCACATGTGCTTGTTCTGCAAAGACAGCTTAGCCCGTGATCAAGAACCGTTGAAGGCTCATACCCTCAACATCTGGACAGCTGCACATCTGTTGCAGTGTTTGCAAAAGAAATCTGTCCTTCAACAGGACGCTTTCCAGACTTCTGGGTGATCTTGATTTGTCTCCTTGATTCCTTTTAATCCCCCCACTCTTCTCTCTGTCTCTCTCTCTCGTTGTCTCTCTTTCCTTTGCTCCTTTTAGGTATCGTAGTGAGAAGATGAGCATGAGTTACACGGAATACCTTGCCCACCGACAGCACCACCACTTCCCGAACGGCCTGGGCCACGGCCTTCCGCCCTACAACCATTATTCCTGACACTGAGACGCATGACCAGTCCCTCCAGCTCTCTGCAGACCTCTTCCCAGGAGACCCCACCCCCTCTTGGTCTAGCTATCTCTATTACTGCACCATTTTATGATGATAGTTTCCGTTGCCATGATGACGCTTCTCTGTGGCAAGCGAAGTTCACCATGGCAACGGGTGGAAATGCTGCATCATTACAGAGTACCCCTCTCAAATTTTTTTTTAAAAAACCAACAAAATACCTTAGTATTATGTCACTGTGGGCTTTATTGGGATTTTTCTTTCTTTTTTTTGGCAGCAAAAAAAAACCTCTTGGGATTTTTTTTAATATGAAATTTAAATTTGTACTTCAGAAACACTGAATTATATCAATCAAGGTTTTCTGTGCAACTGTGGATGGAAGGAATTTTTTTAAAAATAATGCTTACAGATTTGGGCTAGAGAATAAAGCAAGATCAGCTGCTCGTAAGGTTTTTTAAAAACAACAACACACATATCGGATTTAGGTCAGAAAGCAGGCTGTGAAGGAGCAGGACCGGCCGTGCGGTTTGTCAGGGTTCCCCCAGGGGAAGCCTATCCTCCCCGTCCCCCCGGTCCTGTAAATAAATACATGAGCCTCAGATCCAGTCCTGGTCATCTAGGACGATGATGACGTGATGTAATTGATTGATTATGGCTAAAAAAAAATAAGTATAATTCTGGGCATCTGGCAGGCATCCTGGCTCCGTTGATTTTGCTTTAAGGTTTCCTGGCAAATCAGTGGAGCTAAGATCTCGCCCCAGGTGTCTGGTTTGGGAGGGGAGCTGCTTCCTTCCCCTACTTTCCTCCTCCCCCCCCCATCGGAGGGCAATGTCTTCCTTCCCAGATCTAGTTGTAAGAAGGAAGACACAATCCACGAGCTGTTGGTGTCTTCCTCGCGCGGAGGCTTCTGCACCAAGGGATGGACGGACAGACGGACGGTCCCAGCAAGGTTGAGTTTTGAAACTCCAGCGCCTGTTTGGAGGCTTCCGAGTTGCTTTTGTCGGCAAAATACGCGACATGGAGCACTTTGTGGGATTCAGTGCCTTCAGCTGGGGTGCACATTTTACCGAAGAAGAAAAGCGTAGGAACAAGAAAAAGGTGGGCTTCAGCAGATCCTTGTCTCTGCTAGAGACTGGTGAGGAATGGGGGTTCTTCGGAGAGCAGAATTTCAGCCACCCCTGTAGTTCATTACATAGTAGGTAACCTAGCACCGTTGGGTGCTCTCAGAAGGAGGCCGTGCTGGGCTTCCTTCTAATCGATGAAATTGTTCCAGATGTTATGGCTGGAGGGTAGCAGAGCAGACTGGTCAGTCCTGTGGCATTGGCTGGCTTTCTGCCTTTGGCAGACGGGGCCAAGAGAGTCATGCCCGGAAAGGGATGGGCCCTGGAAAAAGGCAGTCAGGGGGTGGGACGTCCTTGTTCCCTGCATCAGCAATACTCTAATGAATTTAGAGATTGGTGAGGTGCATTTTGAAGGTAGAGCCTGGCCTTTACTTTAAAAAGAGAGAGACAAAACTTCCGTTTCGGCAGATGATCTCTGCGAGGCTCAGCCCTCACACACACACACACACACGCAAGGGCAGGCAGCTACTGAAGCCGCCGTGAAAGGTCATTCCAGAAGGTCGTTGGGCGCACTTGGACATAGAGAGAGGCCAAGCAGAGCTGGTTCTCACAGGGGTCGCTGTCGTTCCTTCCTCCACAGCATTGTCAAAATACTAATTTTCTTTCGATGCCTTAATTTTAAGTGAACAGAAAGGCCTGAAAAATGCAGGTAGCCTCACGGATTCTTTGGGCAGGAAAAAAGAGCTGAGCCTCACTTCTACAGAAGTAATTTGGTACAGTTCTTTTTTTTTTCCTTTTTTTTTTGGGGGCCATTTGGCTTGTTGGGAAATGGTTTCACCTTGAAACAGAAGCTGTTATCCAGTGGCTATCTGACTGCATTTTCATTTTATTTTTATTTTTTGCCCTTGGAAAAAGGGAAAACTTGAGCACAAGCTTAAATATATACTGTCTGCTGCAAACATTTGAGAAATCAGCCACGGCCACCCGATCCCATCCGTCTTTCTTCATTATCTCATGATAGCTCATACTTCTGGGTGAGCTCCTTGTTAGACGTTTTTTAAAAAGATCTATTATATATATAAATATATGTGTATTTAAAGGTGCTAATCAACCTTGAGCAGGTCACGTGACTGGTCATGCGGACTCTAGAATCATATCAGATTTTTTTTAAAAGGAAAAAATATCCTCAATATATGCAGATGTTATACAGAATTTTCTTACCAGTGTAATAATGATATACTGATTTAAAATGAAATATCCTGCAGGTTTTGAAGGACAATAGGTCAGCAATACTTCCCATCGTGGCTTGGGGGAGGAAATTTTTAAAAAGGATCATTTTTGTCTCCTTTTTTTGTACACAGCATAATGCACAATGCGTTGGCGTTTTTGTTTTTTTTCTATCAGTAGCTGTTGCTTGGGGAATTTAAAAACAATGTTCAGAAGGTTATACAAACTGGAAAGGTATGCTTTAAAACAAAACCGAATAACCTCCAGACCCTTCTGAACCTGTCTTGCATTGTTTCATTATGGAAGTTCCTACTAGTATGCAGCAAGAGATGAGCTACAGGCAGAAGCTTCAACGATGTTTGTTTTTTGCATATAGATCCGTCAGCTTCTCAGATACTTTTTGTTTATTTGTTAGTCCTGGCGCAGCCTTGCGTTGGCATCTAGGGATACCAGCCGTGCTAAGGAGTACGCTTTGCATCTAATTGTGGGCTCGTGTGTGCAAAATGTGGTATACGTCACAGGAACATAATGGGTCCTGAACGCATGAGAAAGAGGAGGCTTGCCGTCTGCTTTGCTGTTTAGGTCTAAATCGGCAGATCAGCATCGGAGCCTTTTAGAGCATCGGTTGAAAGCTCAAGACGGACTCCCGCCTTCCTCGTAGTGGTTGCTGAGCTTTTTTGACCTGCACTGATGGAGCTGTTTTAACTTGCCTTATTTCATTCCCCCCCCCCAAAAAGGCGCATTCCTTTAACGCTAAAGCTTTTAAAGTCGTGCTGGCGGCGAGGGGCAGTCCCAGAGCAAACCTCTTTGGTTACGTGGCAGAAGAGGGTGTTGCCGAACCTCACCCCACAGACGGTCGCCATCGTAAGAATTCTGTGCATTGCTTTACGTGGGTTGTATCCCACCATCTCCACACGTGGGCCACTACCGTGGGGCAGGAGGGCATCTGTCTAGTACCACCCCCAGCACCACACTGTCCGTCGGAAGCTGCTGGCCCTCCTCCCCCACGTTCGTATCTCGATCTCTTTCACTTGTCGTCAACCGTGCGGGTTCTTGAAACTGTCTGAAGTATAGGACATCTCTTGCATGTTGGGTTGAACCAAAGACTCTTCCAGCCAAGCCTCAATGCTGCTCCAAAAATATTAGCCTGCCTTCCGGTCCTTCCAAAGTCTCTGCAGGATGAAATGAGTTAACTTTTTTTATTTTTGTACAGTTTCTAACTGATTTTTTGCTAGTGATGTTAATTGAATTAAGTTTTGAGGAGCCCTACGGAATCTCCTCTCTTGAAATAAAACTGGTTAACTTTTATGTTTAAATAAAATAATATAGAAACCCAACGTGTGCCTCTCAGATTTTAAGGGTTTCTGGTTACATTTATTAAGACCAGCAGTGATTCTTTATATACAAAGATATGTTTTCCTTGGGTTTTTTTATTACTGTTTTCAAAAGAAAAATAAATAAATACTTCGTTTTTGCTCTGGATCCAGTAACTGCGCTGGTACATAAATGCACTGAGAAAAAAAAGTTTTGTAACAACTTATGACTGTTTTGTATATCAAAGTTGATTCTTTTCAAAAAGATTTGGATCTAGTTTCTAAGTTATTTTAGTGTTTTTATATGTTACAAGAAATGTTCACCAGCATAACAAGTTATCTTCAATGCAAAAGGTGACACAGAAATGGGCCAAGGGCTACCTGGAGTAGCTTAAAGGCCCCTATTTTTCTTTCCTTCCTTAGTAACTTGACTATTGATTACAATATTATCACAGATTACCACAAAACCTCCTCCCATTAAGACTAGATCCTTCCTTCCATGTTTATTTGCTATTAGTGTGAAGAAACTTGATTTTTTTAAAATGGGCATTTTATAAATATGGCTTAAAGGTTAAAAAAAAGGAAAAAGCAAAAAAAAAAAAACCCTAGAAGGTAATTTGTGGGTCTGTGAGATATGGCTGTGGAAAGATATTGTAGTAGTTTTAACACTATTGTTATTACCTTTTAAATCATTTACCCAATAAAATAAGGAGAAAAATCAGAGTTACTTGTACTTATGCTTTTCCTTAAGTGTTTGACCTGTTGTGGTTCAACCAGAAGCCTTCAGGCATGTTTAAGAGTGTCTCCTTTCTGCCTCCACCATCATCCCAACGCAGCTAGAGAGGGTTTGACTTAACCTTGGTAAACGCAGGTCAGATTTGCCAGTGTATCTTCATGGTGAACTTCGGAACAGCAAGTATTTCCTGTGGAGTGTGCTACGAATGGCAGATTCATGTCACACAATGAAACGTTTCGGCACACAACTTGCGAGACTAGCCACCAGCACGGCTGTCCGTCCACCCTTTGAAGCCGTTCCTTCCAGGTAGAAGATGTAAAGCAACTTCAGTCTGCTTCAGGATCTCTCGTCTATCAGTGTGGCCCTCCTGGAGGCCCCCCTCCCTTCCTACCTAGATGGAAAATCCATTCTCTACTTGTCCCAGAGAATTACAAGAGCTGCCAGAATATCACTGGAGAACCCAAGGAGAGAGAGAGGCCTGTTCCTTTCTGCATAACCTTCCGACGGCCGCTTGCCGGGGATGTATATGGCCAAAGCAACATTCTTTGGTCTTCTCCCTGTAGTGCTAAGAAAGAAGCTACTTTTCTGAACACAAGGAGAGTTCATTGTTCTGTACCCTTTCCTTGCTCCAGAAAAGGGACACCAAAGGTGACTAGCTCTAGCAGACTAGAGGTTCTCCACTGCTGAAGAAGAGCCAGGGAGATAGGAGGCATATAAAAAAGAAGTACAGTGGTGCCTCGCTTAACGATTACCTCGTTAAATGACGAGTCCACTTGACAGTGAGGTTTGCGATCGCAAAACAATGTTTTAATGGGCAATATTTGCTTCCCGACGATCAGTTCCCTGCTTCGGGAACTGATTTGTCGCATTACGACGATCAAAACAGCTGATTGTCGGGTTTCAAAATGGCCACCCACTGTGCAAAATGGCTCCCCGCTGCGCTTTAGGACGGATTTTTCGCTGCACAGGCATCGGAAAATTGCTGCCCTATGGAGGATCTTCGCTGGACGCTGAGGTATTTAACCCATTGGAACACATTGAGCGGTTTTCAGTGTGTTTCAGTAGGCTTTTTTATTTCGCTTGACGAGGATTTCGCTCTACAGCGATTTCGCTGGAATGGATTGTCCTCGTCAAGCGAGGCACCACTGTATGTTATCAGTGATAATGGCATAGACATTGACCAGTAGAGCTTCGAAGGTAACGACAAATTTGTTGCAATGTTGGTGGCATTTCTCTGGGAATGCTTCAAACACAATGTTAATGGAGTTGGTGATACCGCTGTTCTGTAGTTAAATACAACTACTGTACTGTACGTCCTTTTCAGAGTCTATTAGCTATGCTACCCTGTTTAATTTTCCCTGGGAAACAACTCAAGAGAGCCTGCTTCACTCACCTGCCCGCTGTCTTTCAACATCATTAAGAGTAGTTGGTCAAGAGAGTTAAATAGTGGTGGAATCAGCATGCCAGATTCTAAGGATGGCCAAGGGTAGAAGAGTTAGTGCTTTCACTCATTCAGAAACTAGAATATTCAGTAATGTTGAAACTGATCTTCCTGTCACACACCCACTTCAGATTCTTTTGAATCTTTGCCATTCAGGTAGGAATGGCCGGTTTGGCGAAGGAAGGACGTAGGAAGAACATTAACTGCTGTAGCAAAGTAGGTACAGTGACACCAGTCAAAATGACCCACAACCTGTGGTGGACAAAGAGTCTTTAGGAAGTGTTTCCTTTGCAAACTTCTCTGCATCTGTATAGCAAACTTTGCTGAAGCCGCGAGAACTCTGAGAAGCATCTTAGCCCATAATCAATAGGATGGGTAAAGAGAGAGAGAGTGGCTGAGGTTGACCGCCCAAGGACTTGAACCTATGAAAAGCGCTTTGACTTTTCATCCATTTTTGTCCTCCGACCATGACAGCAGAGTAAATTCAATGATAGGTTGTATACTAATAATGTGAGGTTATTTATTCCTTTGAAATAAATATAATTTGTTGCTCCAAGAACATGATTTTATTTAGAGAGGAAAGAAAAGACACCGCCAGTACATTTTAAAAAGAAAAATCCACAATATTTCTGTTGGAAAATATTACCGGTTCAAAACGGTCGTAGTTCATAAAATTAGCCTATACAGACCGGGAATTTCTGGAAGAGAGAGGAACGTCTGTGTGGCTCTGGTTTCAGTGCATGAAAGAGGAAAGAATATGTGCCATTGGTGGAGGACCAAAAAAAGGTTACCGGTGAGGACTACAACTCCCAGACATCGTGGCCACTGCCTGTATTATTCTGCAAAGTACAGCCTCAAAAAGTAATTTCCAAGTTCTGCTTCTGGGTGACAGCAAACAGAGAGAGAGGACACCCAGCTTTAAAGGCAGTTCCACTGATGAGGAGATGAAGGATGCCGTGAAATACCCTTTCGTCCTAAAGGAGAGGTGGAAAACCCGAAGATCATAGGTTGGCTTTCACCTAAATATAAATAGGCTGGTGACTGGTGGAAAAGAAATGGCCGCGGCAGGTGAGTGGCAACAACATAACATAAATCTCACTTTCATGCTATATGTGCAAGGGTCAGAAATCAAGATTTCCCTGTTCCCTGGATTTGACCTTAACAGCAGGAGGTTATCAGCTTTCCGGGACAATTGAGAAGCCTTTGAAAAGCTGTGGAAAACACATTGAGAATGCGGGAAACACAACTGCTACCAGGAAAAAAAATTAAAAAAAAATAGGTTGCAGTTTTAAGTTGAAGCATCACAGTAGCCCAACCACACATGTACAGAAAAGGCAGCATGCTTGTCCTGCACGGATCACTGGCACACCAAAGAAGTCCATAATAATACATGGCAAGAGTTGGTTCTGAGGAGGGAGTTACAAAACACTGAATTATCAAAGGTACAGAAATATATCAAAACCCGGATATAGGCCACAGAAGGATAATAACGGTGACACTGAGGTACTCCATAAAATGCTAAAGTGCACAAATACAAAGTCTGTTTTTCCAGAGGGCAGGGTCTGCTCGGCGGAAGCCTACCTGACACAAGCATTCCGCTGCGGGTTTTGAGAAATGAGCAAGCCCAGCCTGGAAGGATTACACAAGACGCTATCAAGGCAAGTCAACAAGGCAAACCGAAAAAGCAACTCTAGCCTTTAAATGGATCCGGGATGCCCCCAAGGGGCTTCCCTCTGAGAAGGCATTCCACCACCATCGCTGCCTGGCAGTAAGGCTGACGTTGATCGGCCGCCCTCCCCTCCAACTCCATGCCATGCGGTGTTTCTTCTCCCCAGGGATCGAGCGGCCCCCAATGGCCAAGGGCCTCTGTCCAACTTAAAGTAAGCTTTGCTTTGCAACCCAGCGCACTGGGAAGTAACACAGTCACGCCTTCAAGCCACCGAGAGAAGCTAGAGCAGTGCCTTTATTGAATCTGGCAACGTCCTGGGCTCCCGGCAGGGATTAGCCCATTCATGGGGTCCGGCTACCTCTCCCGAATCCGAGTGTCGGATAAAAGCACCTCCCTCTATGTGGCCATCCTTCCTTCGGGCAGCAAGCCTTCCACGGTCACGTTAAGAAAAGATCCTGCTGGCAAAGGAGGAGGGATTTCTTTTTAAAAAACACCCCAGGCACCTATAATGACCCTGCAGGCCAACCGACTGGGCCCTCCCCACAAGTGTGCTGGCCTACAAATCCCATCACTACAGCACTCAGGATGAGCGCTAGCCCATGACACCAGACTGGGGAAGGTGGGCACAGAGTCACCCCTTCCTTGGAACAAAACACAGCATCCCTGTGAACTAATTCCTAGTACAGCAGGAACCTGCCCCCCCTCCAATGTCTGCAGATTATAGCAAACATTATTTTAATAGCAAATGCTATACACAGCATGGTCTCTCGCTTCCTCTAGTGGTCAGTTCTGGTAGCTTCTTTAGCAAGACATATAAGACTTTTCTTTTAGTGGATAAGTGAATCAGTGGATAGTGAAGCAGTGGATACTGATCCTGCAGATAGGGGGGTCCTACTGTACAATACAAATATCTGACTACTTTTTTTAAAAAAAACTTCCACTTTAAAATGGGGGGGGGAAGGGTTCAGCTACCTTGTAAACAAAAAGGACAGGAAAAGACAGCTTATAGGATGCTTAGTTATGAATGCGAGGAAAGGAGAATTTTAGCAGAAAAGTTCTGTTCACTGAATGAATTTGTCAGCGATTGGACAGCCAACTTCAAAGTCGTTTATCTAGAGAGGGAATTACACCAAAGCCCCCACAATGCCCCAGGGAGCCCAGAAGTAATTTTTGCTCCCAAAATATAATTGAACGGAGGATTCCCTTCAATGCACTGATAGTCACAACTGTGGATGCCGCGCAGAGCCCCGACGTTCAAGCTCCTTACAGACTCCCCACCCCCTCCCAGAATCGGACGTGGACACGGATCAATCCAGGGATTGCAGGCAGAAAGCATAAGCAAAAAATCCGCCTCCGTTCAAAGGTGAGCACTTGCCGCATAAGCAAAAAATCCGCCTCCGTTCAAAGGTGCTGAACTAGGAGCACTTGCTGAAACAGGTGATTATCCAACTCAGCATCTGAACCACTAACAATGCCAGAATATTTTTAAGCCTGTCAAAGCTACTGAAACGCATCTCCTTATCGAAAAGGAGAACCTGTGCTTCCGTTTGTGTGGGAGGCCCCAAGTAGACCATGGGAAGTTTAAAAAAAAACATGGCACTTTTAGGAGAACCTGTGCTTCCGTTTGTGTGGGATGCCCCAGGTAGACCATGGGAAGGTTAAAAAAACAAAAACATGGCACTTTTCTTTTTTAAGAATAAGAAGTAATTTTGTGAGATAGTTCTGAGCACCTACCAGGAAGACCCACAATATCTGGTAAGCAACATACTAGGAAAAGGCAGGGCCCTGGTTGAAGGAGCGACATGGTGCTGGGGCTCCAGAGAGGAGGCTAGTTCTCCTCCTGAAAATTTCCCTCAAAACCTAGGAAGCGACCCACTTTATGCCCGCGTGTGTCAGTAGGAAAGAAGACCACACCACTGGCCCCTTGTCTCATAGGGACCTTCCCTCTGCAGCTTCACTGAAAGGTCTAACTTTGAAATATAGTTTAAAGAGTATCTTTAAAATCAGTAATGTTCGTTCTGTATCATTTGCAATTTACATTTTCTTCTGCTCCACGTGCAGAAATCCTGAATTTCTGTCCAGCACCAGCCTATACACACTGGATTAATGGTTATATCTATACTATTTAGCTAGGACTGTCACGGTACGCTTCTATTTAAGCATGGAACTTTGAAGGGTAAATGAACTGGATGTTAAGATTCACCACACCAAACGTACCGGCTTAGTCGTTCTTTTAAAAAAGCCAAGGCATGCCATGCCCATTGCAGCTTTTCCAAAGTCACCCCTTCCCTCCCCCCAAAGAAAAGGTGGGTAGGAGAAAGGCCAGCAGGGGCTGTGTTAGATAAGAAATCAATGTGCATCTTCAGAGAAGATAGGTTCTTGGCAATATTCACAGTATAATGCATACAAAAACCCTCACCAGGTATAAATACACAGTGCAAAAACAAACCAACAAAATTTTACAAAGCCGAAGATAAAAGATACTCCTAGTTATGCCAATCAGTAAACAGATTCAAGTTTTGGTCAAGTGAAGCAAAATACCGAGACCAGTGAATGCTTCCCTCCCCCCCCAATCCACCCACCCTGGTCTCTGAGAAAAGCCATTGGGTTGACCTTTAAGGCAAGTGCTCTCCTCCTGAGGTATCGAAAAGGCTGCACAGCGCAAAACACACACCCCTTGGAGCACCTTGCATTCTGTTGAGGAAGGCGATACCAGACTGAGGGATCTGAGGGTGGGAGGGAAAGAGAGAGAGGGTGGTCTACAGCAGTTGTCGGTTCAACGGTCCTGCTGGAAAGGGAGGCTCCCTGAATTGAGCACAGCCATCTTCTGAGGGAGACCGTCCGTGTCTCGAAGTTCTACCAAGGCAGGAACAGGTGACATCTTTACTGGACCACTCAAGAAATAATAATTTTTTAAAAAACAGCGAGGATTCAACTCATCGTCATCACGCTGTGCACCAGATTCTTGTGAGTGGTTCCAAAATTATAGGTTGCACAAACACGGAAACGTAACACAAACCATTGTCTTCTTCACCACCAAGTTCAGTTTTGGGGCGTTTTGGTGGCCTGTGTTACATATTTCTACTGCCGCTCAGACAAGCCAGCTTGCTTCTCAAGGGGTTGGCAACGGTGAATATATACTGCAATCAGGGGTGTCTTAATGGCTGTCATTCACTTCAACGCCGTTCCAGTTGACTGAGGGGTACCGTCCCATCCGATCCAAGCTAACAGCCCCTGTGTTAAAGGAGGCTCCTGTTCTGACACTGCTGCCAGCCAAGGCCTAGCACACTAGTTCATCCTCCACACTGCTATAGACTCTCATAGCTATATACTGATTATAATCATCATCATCTTAAAACTGCAGAACTGGAAGAGGAACTCTATGGAGTCCAGCCCCTTGTCAAGGAGGCACAGTGGGGAATCAAAACTTCCAACTTCTGGTAATGCAGCCAGAGACCTAAACCACCAAGCTATCCAGCAGTTCATCATGTATTTCAACAATTAATTTAGAACGTCATCTATGGGCTCCCACCAGATCTTCCGACACTGTTGTTTAAATGCTGTAGTTTTCAGACTGGAGCTGAAAATCAGTAGCTTTGAAAGTCTGTCTTTGTGGAGTACACATCACTGCTGTTGTTCCAAATTTGTTTTCAACCAGCTGTAAGAGCAGAACCTTGCTAATTAGTACTCATGATTAGAAGACACCAAAGACACTGCTGTATTAGCATCTGGGAAGAAGACGAAGGAGGTGAAGTAGGCAGAGGCAGTAGCCTCATTGTTCGATGCCGACACCGCAGGAGAAACTGCACTCTTATCACTAAAATTAAGAATTACCATTCAGTAGGTTAATGAGTAAAAACCATGGCAGAAAGACACTTCTCCAACAGCTTTATGTGCCCCATTGTAGGGTGCTGACACTCTTTCAAGTTTCCCCCAGTTCCAAAGGAGCCAGATTCTGTTGTAGAGTAGTGGTATAAGCAGACATCACCCTCTCAATGAATAAGGCCACAAGTTTTGCCAACGGCTCTGGGCAGTGAAACATCAACAGTCAGGGAGGCAACAGGAGGGAATGTGATAATTCATAAAAGTTGAAAGACACCCAAAGGAACTGCACGTGTAGGATCTTTTCCTCACTCCAGTCTTCTCCCACCACCAACACAGTCCTCTTCTGCTTCTCCTGTGTTCCTCCGTATAGAAGTTTTAGGATATTTTCTTAGCTGGGAGACGAAGTAAATCCAGACAGAATCTAAAGAAAGGGACAGTACTGTAGAAGGCAAAAGTAATGAGCTTCCCGTGAACCATAGTCATGATTGTCTGGTGGCCTGATGCCCAAATTCGATACCAGGGGCCATAGAAGGGATCCGAGATGGCCGGGCACAGCATGTTATTCAGATTCACCTCTGTGGCCTTGAAAAAGAAGAGGGAAGGAGAGAAGGATGCTTCAGTTACTCTTATAAGGACCAACTGTTTGCTCAATTCACTTAGAAACCAACAACCAACATAAGAGTTCCCCATCTCAAATATGTCCAGGGCTATGTTTGCTTTCTATGACTGAGGAAGAGAAGGTCGGCTAGCATGGAGTTGGTCTTGCCTTTCCCAGAGCTAACTTTGGCTTCTTCATGGTTGGGTGGCCATCTTGGTTAACAAGGGGAGGGAAGGAGAGCGAGGCCCTCCACCCTGGATGAAGATTGAGGTCATTCAACGACAGCCATCAGCTTCATTAAAGCAAGCGGCCAGTCAAGAAGTCTACAGACAGAACAACCCCCCGTGCATTGCTCTTGACCCCATGGAGCCTTGGGACGCCAGTGGTTAAAACTGCACTGCTGCAGCCAAAATGGCTCATGACCCGGGTTGAACCCCAGGTAGCCAGCTTCGAGGTTCACTCGGCCTTCCATTCTTCCTAGGTGGGTAAAATGAGTACCCAGCTCACCAATGGGTGGGTGTGCCATGGGTAGCCTGTATACAGTGGTGCCTCGCTTAACAATTGCCTCGTTAAACAACAAACCACTATACGATGACTGTTTTGTGATTGCTTTCGTGATCGCAAAACGATGTTTTAATAGGCAAAATCCGCTTTGCAACTGATTTGGGAACTGATTCTTCACAATACGACACGATCGGTTCCCTGCTTTGGGAACAGATTCTTCACAATATGACGTTTTTAAAATAGCTGATCGACGGCTTCAAAATGGCCACCTGCTGTGTAAAATGGCTCCCCACTGTGTTTTTGCATGGATTCCTCGCTATACAGGCACCAAAAATGGCCGCCCCTATGGAGGATCTTCGCTGGACGGTGAGTTTTTCAGCCCATTGGAATACATTGAATGGGTTTTCAATGCGTTTCAATGGGATTTTTTATTTCGCTTAATGAGGATTTCGCTCTACAGCAATTTCGCTGGAACGGATTATCCTCGTTAAGCGAGGCACCACAGTTATTAAAAACGGTAAACTGCCCAGAGAGTGCTTTAAGCGCTGTGGCTTTCCAGTGTCACCTCTAGTCCTCTGATTACTTGTACATTAACACAAGAGGCAAATGCAATAAACCAGAACTTTTTACTCACCAGTCCCAGAATCTGTAGGGCCGTAAAGTGGTAGATGAACATCAACCCCGTGGCTAATAAAGCCCACCAGAAATTACAGAAAGGCTCAGGGGTGTAGATACCTGTTACGGAGGGCGTGAGGTAAGGGACGGAAAGAGAGAGTGGGAAAGAGGTGAAGTTATTCAGCGAGGTTTCTGGGCTTCCCAAATAACAGCAGTCCCTCTTTAGTGAGATGTTACCATGTAGTTCTCAGAAGCCAAACCATGGAATGCGCAGATCCGCAAGGAAAAACCAGCTGCCTCAAATTCGTCTTTGAAAAACCTCAAGGCCGTGGGACAGAGCAGGGCATAAATCAGGCACTGAAGACGAAGGGGGTGTTGGAGGCTTCTAGCTTTACCCCCCCCGTTACCCCCCAGTGACAATGTCCATGCTGTAAATCTCCCTGGGAGAAGAGCGGCCCTTTTGGAAACCCTTCATGCTCACAAATACGGTTCACTTTTCCTGAAAGGAGAACTGGACTCTGGTTACCACACAAATTCATCCCACGTAGTCATTCTGTTCCAAATACTGCAACCCCCCCACACTTTGCCGTCCTAAAACTGATGTGTCTCAAATGACTCGCAGCATCCACCGAAATAAAAAATAATAATTGCACAAATATATAATGCACAATAGCCAGCCCAAATGAGAAAAACCATACAGCCAGTGAGATTATTGAGAGCCTGGGCAAAACTTTGGGTGGTGGGTGTACGCCCGTGGCCTGTGCCTCTTTGTACGGAGAACTAGGTACCGTATTTTTCGCACCATAAGACGCACTTTTTCCCCACAAAATGGGGGGGAAGTCTGTGCGTCTTATGGAGCGAAGAAAACAGATTATATTTTCCTGTTTTCTTCTCCTAAAAAATTGGTGCGTCTTATGGAGCGAAAAATACGGAAGTTACACTCCACGTGCAAACGCCTAAGCTGTACCCATAAAACAGCAACCAGTCTCCGGACGTACGACTAAAAGCAAAGTGCCTGGGGGAAAAATCCATCCTGTGATGTACATGTGGACTTTTAAGTTCTTCACACTGGTACAAACCCGACAAAGTGGTTTTTTAGTCCATGAAAGCTTATGTATTGTACAAAGATATATATATTTTAGTGATCTATAAAGGGATTGCTTATTTTTGCATTTGTGTTTTATTTTGTTCGGGCCACACGGTGAACCCTTACTTGGAGCAAAATGAGGATGCTTTGCCATTTTTTTCCCCCAAAAGGAACTGGGCCAATTTGGAATTCCACAAGATTAAGCATCCTGTCCTTCACAGCCCCCTTTGCTTCACCCTCTTGGAGATTGGGGAACCTCCCCAGGATATAGTAGTTGATGGGAATTTAGCAAAGAGTACGTCCGCCAGCTTGTTGCAGGAAAAACTGCAAAACAGAGGTATTTAAAGATCATTGGTTGTTGTTTTTTCCACCATTCCACGCCATGAACACTTATGACATCCGAATATGCATGTGCACACATCCTAGTCGGCAGAACTGTTGGATGTTTTAATCGGAACATGTAATTAGCAAAAGTAGGCGTTTATGGGTCAGCACCTGGAACGTTGGCTGTCGGGTTTGGAAAAAGTGGACCGAGCCTCGGGCACCATCTGCTCCTCCTAGCCAACAGCCCCTCTTGCCGTTCAACCCCTTTCTACAGCTACCCCCAACACGTGTTAACACACACAAAAAGCACTTGACTAGGGATGGGAGTGCAGTGTGATTTGTGGCGTCCAACAAAGGCATGCATTTAGAGGAGTGTGCTGCCTTTCACAAAAGCTTGCGTCAAACAGAATTCTTTATTCTTTACTGTGCCAGAAGGCTCGTTGTTTGTGGGTCAATTAGTAATAAACTATCCAGGGGAAGTAGTGAAAAGGGAAAGGGGGAAGAGAGAGGGAGAGAAAGAAGTGAAACTACATTCCTGGCTGTCGGTCATACAGTCTAATTACATTTTTAATTATATTCCCAATGTAGGCTCTCTTTCCAAAACCACCAACGGGTTCCTTGCACAGCTGGAATTCAACAAGCAAAAGTGAGCAGTTATATATGAAGTAGGCAAAACACATATACCGTATTTTTCGCTCCATAAGATGCACCTTTCCATAAGACGCACCAATTTTTTAGGAGAAAACAGGAAAATATAATCTGTTTTCTTCGCTCCATAAGACGCACAGACTTTCCACCCCCCTGTTTTGTGGGGGAAAAGTGCATCTTATGGTGCGAAAAATACGGTATTTGGATTTGTGGAATCCATGACAGGTTCAGAGGAGGGCCACGAGGATGATCAGGGGACTGGAATCCAAGCCCTAGGAGGAAAGACTGAAAGAACTCAGGCATGTTTAGCCTTGAGAAAAGACTTGAGGGGAGATAGGATTGCTCTTTCCAAATACTTGAAAGACTTGTCTTGCAGAGGAGGGGCAGGATCTGTTCTCAACCATCCCAAAGTGCAGGGCAAGTAATAAGGGGCTCAAGTCATAGGAAGCCAGATTTAGGCTGAGTATCAGGGAAAAAACTTCTTACCTGCATGTAAACGTCTCAAATAAACCAACAGCCCATATTCTGGGCCCGTCCACTGACTACGGAAGTAGGGTTGGCTGGGTAATGTGTTTATATTGTGTGTTTTTTTTAATTAATCACGGTGCTGTGAACTTCTCTAGAGATAACTTGACGGAGCAGCCCATATAAAGAAGGAGGTAACCACAAATCTATGGAACACACAGCACAAATAAGCAAGGGCTGAATCACAACCTATTGTGCTGACGAATATTCTCCCTTTCCTACTGGCAAAAAAAGGGGGAGGGCTGTTCTGGATGCTTTCCAACCCGTTGATCAGGAGAGTTCGTGCTTCTTAATCAACAGGCCCCCTTCGTCTGGCGCTCACCCGTCTCTTAGAATTCACGGAGGTGGACGACAGTGCTTGCATCTTGCGTTGCTGTTCACCAGCCACGTTCCTTCCACAACCCTTTGCAAAGGCAAAGACCTCAGCTACAACTTTGCTTCTCTCTGAGCCGATTGTTAGTTGGGTTTTACAGAGACAGAGAGGAAGTTAATCGGGCTCCTGTCCACAGTCTAAGGCCAGCGCTAGAGGGCAGCAGACGACTGCATGTCCATAAAAAGACTGGCTCGTCTTGGGAAGAAGAACACGAGCATCCCTACAGGCTCAGGGGAAAAAAAGGGTCTTTTTCATCAGCATCCCTTGTTCTCACGGCCAACGACAAGAGGCTCCGAAGAGGTAATCCCAAGGGAGGCAGATGAGAACCACCAAGAAGTTGCATGTTTTTTTACACGAGAACCCAACCTACATTATTTATACATTTAATTCCTGTTCCCACCCACTCCCAAGATCAACAGGTAAAATATGAACCGGTGGGGTGGGGCGCAAAGTGTGGCTCGCGGGGAGCCCCATGCTGTTCCCAAGACTCTGGAGGTGGCCCACCCCCCTGCAGGAGCAAAAACAGACGCACTGCCGTACCTCTTTTCCGCAGAAGGTAGATGGGGACAATGTACAGCATGACGTGCTGGATGTAGTAGATCTCCATTTCAAAAGGGAGCTGAGGAAAAGAAGCAGAGGTGGGGGGGAAATCTGTTAAGTGCTATGGACACATTTATTTAAATAACTATTTTAGCTCTCTGGAGAAGGACACGTAAAGCTATCACAGGAATCATCCCTTGTGCCTGGGGAAATGAAAAACGCAAATAAAAATGGATGTCATGCAGCATTTTTAGATTAGGAATCTTTCCAACCCCCTGATTTTATGCCATTCAGAAATGAGTCTTCCCTACATATCAAACCTAAAACCAACATTATCATTGACTTTTTTCAGGCAGTCCTTCTTAGCGTACGTCGTACCTTTATGCATCTTTTTTTCCTATAAACTAAATAACGCAAAGGAACTGTACACTATCGCAATTCAATAAAAAATGGTTTCCAAGCAAAGTTCTAAATTTGCTCATTCGTGTTTTTCCTGATTACTGCCAGTGACAGGAAATAAGGGAGAGGGTGATAACTCAGAGGCTGTCATGAGGCTGCATTTAAGCCTTTAAACATTTTGGTTTTTTAAAACCACTTTTATAACAGCCAAGCAACCTGCAACCCGGCCACATTTGCCCAAAAGGGCCATGGTCTTCTTTCCCTGATATGGCAGCCCGGTCAAGGAGGCAGCTGCTCAGCCTCCCACGACGGCTCCCACCACTTCAAATCTGGGAAGGGAACAGGGCCGGAAGAGGTCAAAGGTAGGCAGAAGAGACAGTAAAGGGCTTCAAAGATGGGCCACGGGGTGGAAGGACATCGAGATGCCCAGGGAAGGGGGCAAAACCTTCGCACAGGGGCCATTTCCCTCTGAAACCGGCACAAAGCTTTCCTTGCGGTCACTTCAGAAGCGGCAGGCCTTCTTTGTGTGCGTCCCCCTCTTGGGGGGTTGTTGGGGGGCCCGTCTTCTTTTCCTCCCTTTTTTAGGCTCTCCAACAGCGATGCGCCCTGGTTAAGCTCCCTTTCTTGTGGAAGTGGCAGCAATCATATCTACACCGGCATTTCTCTCTCTTTTTTTTCTTAAAAATTAATCCCCGCCATCCCTTTTCAGAAAGCACAGCCTTCCCACAAGGACCGGTTTCTGATACATGCCCATACACGCCGACGTTAACTTCCTGCTCCAAAAGGTCAAGGAAGAAATGATCTTACCAGGCAGGGCTGCAACACATAGATTGTAATGTGACCTGCGACACGCACACAAAAGATACACAGAGAAAACACACTGGACGACCCCCCCCCCAGATGGGAAACGCTGTGTGCCTGACCACCCAACCGGCCCTTCTCTAACGCAACCGGCACCTTGTTAGTGGCAACCTGCCACAATGAAACCTGCAATTCACATACGTGTTGCCCATGAAATGCTCGCCAATGGAAACAAACAAACACAAGTGCAAACGTTTGCATACGGTATTATGTAACGTCCACAAACCGGGAGGGTTTCGCCCTGGAAGGGAGGAGTCAGACGCCAGTGGAATCCAGCCAAGCCAATAAAGACGGCTTTATGGTGTCATCAGGGCCATTTCGGGAAATCATCCTCCACCACACCTACAGGAAGCAACTGAGCTTCCAATGGCAGGCCAGGCTTAAGTTTGTTTCTCCGAATGGCTTACAAATGTTGAACAGCAAGACCATCAACAAAAGCGTTCAAGCTCTGAAAAAGGAAAGACCAGAAACGGTCATAGATCTGGTCAATTCTCTGGTCCATCTATTCTAGCGACTCCTCGGCCCAACAGCGCCAGGTTTTTACGTTGAGCAAAAGCCTTCCTCGCCTTCTCATGTAGACAATCCTTTTTAAATGGAAAAGCCAGGGTTTCGTTGGTCTACGGTCATTTCTGTGCCTCCATCAGTGTGAGAGGACCATACAGAGGGGCTTACCTACTGACCTATTGTTCCTTGATGCCCCTCATGTTTTGGGACCCCGTTACTAGTCGGAGCGTCTCTTCCCAAGGCCATCCTCCCGCATCACCCGATCCCTCCCAGGGTATGCTCCTCCAGGTGGCCACCACGAAGGAGGGCAGAAAATCTTCAACAGGAATCGAGGCCTTCTCGGCAGTGGCACCTTCTCTCCAGGGTTGAGCTGTACCCCCTCCCTCCCTGCCCATTTTTAAGAGTCTGCTGAAGACTCTTCTATTTCGAGAGGCCTTTGAAGGCAGCCTCACTTGAATTTTTGGCCTCCTGCCGTCTTATTTTGCCTGTCCTCTCTCTATTACAATATTCTTTTACTCTTTTTGTTATATCCTTTTGGCTTTATATGTAAACTGCCTAGAATAGTGCTATGTGATACTGAGTTGGTATATAAATGAGTAAACAGCTAAATTCTTGCCCTATATGTAATAATGTCAGAACTGCACAGCTGGGGGGAACCCGATAGATCACTGAGTCGGTAAACTGCCTAGAATAGTGCTATGTGATAATGCGTTGGTATATAAATGAGTAAACAACTACATTATTGCCCTATACGTAATAATCTCAGAACTGCAGAGCCGGAGGGAACCCGATGGATCACTGAGTCCAGGAGACCCAGCGGGGAATCAAACCCCCAACCTCTGGTTCCTCAGCCAGAGACCTAAGCCGCTGAGCTATCCAAGCAGTTCATAGAAATATTTTATTTTAATTAGCTTGGTTCTAGTTGAGTAGAGACACAACAGTAGCAAGACTGTTCCTCTCCATATAATACATTCTGTTTTAATTTTTTTTAAATCTGGCTTTCATCATCATCATCCACTCCACCCTCCATTTCTTACATGGCAAAAATTAAGCTACAAAAGCTTGTGGGCTGCACCAGGATACAGTAGATGTAGCTGAATATGAGCCAACAGTATGATGTGGCTACAAATGCTATTTTAGGCTGCATTAACAGAAGTACAGTCTCCAAATCCCACAAGGTACTCGTTCTCCTCTGTTCGGCGCTGGTTAGGCCTTATCTTGAGTACTGTGTCCAGCTCTGGACACAGCACTTGAAGAAGGATGCTAACAAACTGGAACAAGTTCAGAGGAGGGTGACAAGGAGGATGATCAGGGGGCCAAAAACCAAGCCTTATGAGGAAAGACTGAAAGAATTGGGCATCTTTAGCCTTGAGAAAAGAAGACTGAGGGGAGAGAGGATAGCATTTTTCAAATATTTGAAAGGCTGTCATACAGAGGAGAGGCAGGATCTGTTCTCGATCATCCCAGAATGCAGGACACACAACAATGGGCTCAAGTTAAAGGAAGCCAGATTTCGGTTGGATATCAGGAAAAACTTTCTAAATGTTAGAGCAGAATGACAGTGGAACCAGTGACCTCGGAAGTTGGAGAGCACTCCAACACTGGAGGCATTCAAGAAAAACTTAAGATAATCACCTGGCAGATCTGCTTTGATGGTGTTCCTGCGTTGAGCAGGGGGTTGGACTCAATGGCCTTATATAGGTCCCATCCAACTTCATGATTCTGTGATTCAGCTCTCGCTTGAGTACATGTTCAAAATTTGGCTGGCACAGATATGACGTGCAGGACCGATGTAGATGCTGTGTTCTATCGCTAAAGCAGTTTGCAGATCTTAAAAGAACAGCAGCTACAGGGGGCATCATAGCTACCTAGTTCTAGCAAGATGAGAAGAGACAGGAAGCCCTCAGCCTCCAGGTCCTGTTCTATTTTTATCTTATCTTTAGCTACGTTTTCAAGAACATTTGTTGAGGAAGGGGAAAAAAAACCCAGAAAGACACATACTGCTAACAAGAGCTTGCAAGTTCAAAAACTGCTCAGTACAACACACATAAACGCTCTCTTTGCCCCAGAAGAAATAAAATCATTCTCTAAAACAGCCACCGTGGTGTGGTCTTTATTTGACTTTGCTTTGCAAAACGATTTATGCAGAAAAAGTCGTACAAGGAGCTTCACTAAGACTTTACATACCCAAATCCTTTTGGAGTAGCTTTGGGCTCAGTGTTTAAATCCTGCTAATCTCCTCATTTCCAATCCAATGCTTTTTAGAAGGATACTGTACACAAGTGACTATTATAAACATATTTATGCCCTCGTTCAAAAACATTTTTCCAGGATGGGTGGCTCACAAGAGGGCATTTAATATGTAAATGGAGCAAATAAAATAAGCTGAAGCACATCAAACTGGAAAAGTAGCAGAAAATGATAAGCAGGATTAAAATTGTGTCAACAACAACAAAAATTCAAGAAAATAAAGAGTTTTCACCTGATATTTGTTTAGTGACAATAAAGGCAAGCTTCAATGAAATAGCAACTACAAAGTGTGCTACACCACACAGTTGGATCAGTTTGATACCATTTTCAAAATGCCGTGGTTCCAGACGATGAAATCTGGAGATCCATTCTCCAGTGAGACATGCAAGATTCTCTGCTAACCGGTTCTCTTGCACTCCCTTGTATTACAGTGGAGAAGTCTAAATATACTGTATTTATTAAATATGCTTATTGACTTTCTACCCTACTGCATGTTACATTCATGGACTTTCCACAGCTTTCTAGACCACTTACTAACATTCCACGGAATCAGTGTTTCTTTATAAATGGCCGATGGAAGTACAGTCTTGCCCCGCTTAACGATTACCCTGTATAACGACGAATCCGCTTCACGAAGATGTTTTTGCGATTGCAATTGCGATCACAAAATGATGTTTTAATGGGTTTTTTTTCGCTTTGCGACGATCGGTTCCCTGCTTCGGGAACCGATTCTTCGCATTACGATGATCAAAACCGCTGATCGTTGGGTTTTCAAAATGGCCACCGGCTGCTCAAAATGGCTCCCCGCTGTTTTTAGGAGGCATTTTTCACAGTACAGGCACCAAAAAATGGCTGCCCCTATGGAGGATCTTCGCTGGACGAGCAGGTATTCAGCCCACTGGAATGTATTGAACGGTTTTCAATGCATTTCAATGGTCTTTTTTATTTCGCTTGACGTTTTCGCTCTACAGTGATTTCGCCGGAACGAATTAACGTTGTCGAGCGAGGCACCACTGTACAGGAAAAGAGACCGGATTCAAGAACCTACCAGCTCTAGCCATCCCCAACTTAGAAAGTTACAAAATAAAGAACCAAGATGCCATTTGGTTCAAAAGGGAAGAAAACAACCTTTCTTCTCTCCCGCGCTAAATTTCCCCCTTCAGTTTCACCTTAGTGCTAACTGTGGTGTAGTGTTACGTCTCCATCAAGGCTAGCTTTAACCACATTTCAACCATGTTCCCAGCCAGAAGCAACACTGAAATGTGTGGACGCATTATGCCACTGCAGTTAACACTGATGGGAGAAAGGAATTCATACATGGGGGGGGGAGTGTCCATGAATGCCTGCAGGCTGCTTCAAAAAACTTTCTAATCAGTCTGGTGTGATGGTTTGAGTGTTAGTCTGGAATCTGAAAGATTCAGATCCAAAAGATTCCCAGTGAGACAACAAATCCACTGAGCTGGTCACTCTCAGCCTTATTTTCAGTTGTGAGAATAATGTGGGTAAGGGGGTGCGGAGTGCTACATAAGCTATCTTGAACTCCCTAGAGGAAAGGCAGGATATAATAAACACAGTAGGAATCCCGTATCCATTATCCACTAATTCACTTATCTGCTGCCTGAAAATATTAAATTTTTAAAAACCAGAAATGTGTATTCATACATATTTCCATGATGTAGTTACCAGAAATGGCCACTAGAGACCATGATATGATCCAGGCTCTAGGTTCTCTATTATCCACAGTTTTCGGCATCTGCGGGAAGCGGGGCTTGGAACCAATCGTGGTCCTACTGTAATAAACAGATCAGGAAATCCCTTGATCTGACTGTCCCGGAAGGCCTGGACATGCAGAGAAACATGAGGCCACAATTGCTGTCATTCAACAGACCTGCTAGGTCATCTGGGCAGTGGAGGCAAGCAGCCGCGTGTTAAGAGAGGCAGTGGAGTGAAACTCTGAACCCTAAACCTGCATTCTGACAGAAGGAGAAGCCAGCCTTCTTCAGTGTTCTAATGAAAGATAAGGGGGAAGGTTGGCGCAAGGTGACTTCCGTGGCTTCCTGCTGCCAGCGGGGGCGCCTAAAAATAACAAGGGAACCTCATTTCCATTCACAGTTTGTTTAGCGTGATGCATGTGAACTGGGCACATGGATTTGTCTCTCTCGGGAACAAGCCACGGGAATAAACCGGTTTCGCAGAATGTCTGCCTTACTGCCGGATCTGAACCCGTCTTCAATAACCGTCAGGGAGTTGCGAAAGCGAACCCTGGGAAGATCTTTGGTTCAGAGGTCATGGGGGATTCAAACGGCACCTTGCATTCGTTAAGATGGGTTCATTAGCTCCCAAGCTTTTTAAAAGGAGAACGGGGGGGGGGGGGGGGGGGGGAGCGATTCTTGCCGTTGGCAACGGAGGAAGCTCAGAGGTGGCACAGAAGAGAAGTTCTTGAATTGACTTCTGCTGTTAAAGACAGATGGCATTTGATCGGCCCGCTTCCATGAGAGGCGAAAACTTCCCTCCCACCCTAATTAAAACAAGCCAACAAAGGGGGGGGGGAGGACGGATTAGAACGAAAGGCGTGCGACCGATCGAGCATGGCCTTTATTTGATCGGCTTTTCTGAAGATTAAGCAATTAAACTTCCCAGGCCAAAGTTTTAAAGGACAAAATGATGGGTGTGTCTCTTCCCCCCCCCACTTGCTTATTTCTTGTTTAATATATGGGTAGTGGGGTGTGGGGACTAATTATTGACCTCATAAGCTTCCAGGGATGGTACTATATCTCCCTCCATAGGGCCAGGAGGCTCATCATGACAAACCACATTTTTCTAGGATTCCAGAAGTGGAAGACGTTTTTTCTTTTGATTTTGGTTTGGTTTTTTGCTGACTTCCAGAGGCCACGGGAACCTGTGGGAGGCACTACGGTTTGCGCAGCCTAATCTAAAGCTAGCAGCTCGCTCGGCTTATCCTGCTTCCCCAAAGCCACCCCGTATAAAGTGGTCCACAGAGGCAGTGTTTTAAATTGCACCAGCACGAACTCACTTTTCCACACAGGCTCGCAGATGGCAATAAACACGGGTGGCATTTTGAATTTGGTAAAAAATTCAGGCGGTACACGGGCTTGGTAATTCCACTCATTCAGAAATCGAATTCGGAAGAGGTATTCCAACTTTTATACCGCACAACATTCATTCTGCTAAAGCCATCAGAATAATGTCATGTAATTACTGCGGTCAAGCCCAGATTATATGATACACATAATGTATACCATCTAATTAATTATAACCAGGGGTGGTCAGAGTGACGGGCTGGAGTCAAAGCATTCGGAGAAGAGAAGCTTCCTTCTTTTCCTGCCACAAATCCAGTTGGCCAATAATAATTTACTTTAATTGCTGTAGCCACACTGGGAAAACATTTTCAGGGGAATCCCTGATGAAAAGGGAAAAGACAGGTCATTTTCCTACCCTTATGGCCAGCAGCCACCCTGCTATTCTCGAAGTCAAACAGAAGTTGCCTCGCACGGAGAGTGACCTGCCATTTACTCTGTCACTTTGGAAATTACTAATGAGTAGACAGAGCGCCATACAAAGAAAGTAGTCAGGTAAGCAGCTTAGTAATGATATGCGTCTCACTGTAGCTCCTCTTAGCTAATACCATGGTAATCTTAAGTAATGAAGGTAATCATTAATCTCATTAATCCTCGGATGCTAATTTTTAGGAGACTATCTGCTTAACATTCCCTGTATTTGCATGCAGGTGAGGCAAAACTGCTGAAGCATTCATATCTGCAAAATGAGATTTATTCATTTGCCATTTTAATGAATTCCTCCTGATCAGCATCAACCAACTGATATAGACTATGTGTTGTTCTAAACACTAAATAAAGTTTGCAAAAGTATTTGTACAAACTTGTATTTTCCTCCAAAATGTTAAGGCTTGAACATTTTTAATAGCTCCCCCAAGAGAAAAGAAAATGTTTCTTTATAATGAAAAGGATCTCAGCCAACACCCTCACTAAATAAACCTGACCCATTTTTAAACAAGGCTTTCCCTGTTTACAACACAGAACTATTTCCTGGTTTCAAAATCTGTAACAGTTCTGCATAGGGAAAAAGCATGCAACTTGTTTAAAGACCAGTCACATGTGAAAATCATATAGGTGCAGTAAAGCTATGGATTTGCAACACATACAAACTGAAATCCTGCTGCTTGGTGTAGTCAATTACCCTAGAGAAGGCCCACTGAATCAGTGGTAGACTGGGTGAGTCAAGTTCTCCATAAGTTTCATTGATTCAAGTGGGCCTACTCTAGTTACCACTTATTGTGCTAAAAGTTGCAAAAGAGTAGGCCTGTTTGAATGAATGGAGGAGGAGGTGGACTCAACCAATCCCCATGGATTCAAGGGGCCTACTCTGAAGCAGCAGGATGTCAACCATTATCTATGAACAGTAGACTCCAGGCAGGAAGAACATCACCATCATCATCATTTTAGAACTGCACAGTTGACAGAGACTCTATAGATCATTAAGTCCAGCCCCTGTTCAAGGAGGCACCAAGGGGAAATCAAACTCCCAACTTCTGGCTCTCCCTCTGTCCATTCAGAACCGAACCCCGTCTAGATTCTCATGAAACAGCGTGGGACTCTCTCACAGCTTAAGTCACCTCAGGTTGACAGAGTAACACAACTATGTTGAATGGCTGGTAATCTGGACTTTGATTGTTGCATGATAAACAGCCTGGATTGCAAAACAGATAAGTGAGAGTGACACTCTATTATCACACGCTACGTGTGGTCAAAGATCCCTGCGTCCCTGTTACAACGGATGCTGCCAAGTCAGCACAGTGAGTCGGGTCATGTGCAGGCACCTCCTGGCTGGCATTACAAAGATCGTTCCTTTTCCAGAAGAAAGAGTGATGGAGAAAAGCGATGAAAGGGTCTACACAGAAACAGAGCGCATGGACAGATTTTTGTTTTACTCACCAGCCGGGTATTAACCACAGGAAACAACAAGGCCAAGAGTGCCCCGTTCAGCATATGCATTTGCAACCTAATAAGAGAAAAGCACAGAGTTATCGCTATGTAGCGGCATCGACTCAATGCCACGAGAACATTGCTGGTCTGGTTTTCATGCAAAGAGCAAGCACCGTTTAGCATTTCAAGAACAAGCCCAGGTGATGTACATCACCTTTTGCTTTCTTGTGTGGCGACCAGAAGTCTGGAGTTTGCTTTTTATGAGCTACTGTATTTTTCTGTGTATAAGACGCGCCCATGTATAAGACACCTCCCACTTTTCTATCCCAAAATTAAGAAATCTAAGTGGGGCTTAGCAAGTGGAGGGGAAAGCAGGGATCAAAGCGCTGCAGGATCACTTTGATCCCTGCTTTCGCCTCCACTTATTTTTGTTCTCTCCTCAGCTTACTTCCGTGTATAAGACGACGCTCAATTTTTTAAAGATTTTAGACAAAAGTATAATCTTATACACAGAAAAATACGGTAATGGTGTTGGCCAACACATTCATCATAACTACGGCTAGTCACTATATAAACATGTATATAAATTAAAATAAAACATTTGAAGCATACCTTTGGTTAACAGAGATAAAGCAAATAGTATTTATTTACTGTACATCTCAGAATCTCTCACGACAGACACAAAACCTTGGTGAGAATCACTTTGAAACTCAACGTGGTTCACAGTACATTTTGCCATCCACGTCGCCTTTAAGTCCGTGGGTTTTGGTTTCACGCAAGTAACGGAAGCTGTATTTACTCGTCTAAATCATTTGTTGGAGCTTGGCGACAGAATTACCTGAAGAGAATCATCGCAAAGTGGCAGGGGGGACAGGCCAGCAGAAAAATCTGTAATATTGGGGGGGAAAAATAACAACAGTTACCAACGTGTTTTCACATCAAGCACAAAACAAGCAGGTCACTCTTAGTGGAAACCTTCTCTCTTAAGCACAAGAAGGAATTTCAAGCAAAGCATGACTTTGCTCTTCAATCAAGAGTGTAAAGACGCAGTTCTGACTTTCTTCAGCATCTTTCTCCTTGTTTTGACGGGTGATGAATACACAGGGACACTACGTATCCATGGCTGCTCCAAATCGCTGCTATTTGCAATCTCAGTCCTTATCAGAGGAGATAACTCTGCTTGCTAACCACCTAGGACAAAGGGATTCATGCACTTACCAACCAGCCCTTGCCTTCCTCTAAAAATGCTATGCTCCTGTTATTCTATTATTCTTCAATATTCTTCTCTTGCTGCTTATTAGCAGGGCTAAAGGATGCAGCTTTTCAAAAGCTGGTAATAAAAGTATTAATTCATGGTGTGCTTTTTTTGTTCCTGTTGCCCTATTAATTTTCTATGTTCCTGGTGTTTTTAATGCATTTACCATGTCATTCTCTTATCAATATTTATTCACTTCTTACAAGACTGTTCTGATTTCCCCCCCCCCAGCACGAATCTTGTGTTTAGGCTTTTGTTTGGTGTTTTTCATTTGTTTGTTTGTTTGTCTGCTCTGTCCTGCAGGGCTCAGGTGTTTTTCATTTGTTTGTTTGTTTGTTTGCTCTGTCCTGCAGGGCTCGGATGGCAAGCGACCGTTTCTGGAACGGCAGTGTATACAAATAAAGGGAGGAGGGAGGATGAGGAAGGAAGCTAGGATTCTAAAGTCTCTGCTTTGCAGGCAGATTTTACAAGTTGCACCTAGCCTTGGTCTCTTCAATCGCTGTTCCTCCAAACCACGCTGCCACCTCCTTTAAAACAGAGTTAGGCTCTCATGTGTCGGCAACTGAATCCAGCAGGACCCTCATATCCATGGGATCAGTACCCACCGATTCACTTATCTGCTGCTTAAAAATGCTAAATAAAAAAACTCAGAAATACAGTATATTTTTTTTCAGGATGTATTTACCAAATAAAATGCTAAATAAAAAAACTCAGAAATATATTTTTTTCAGGATGTATTTACCAAAAATGGCCACTAGAGGAAGCCCAAGACCATGCAATGTATAACATTCCATATTTCCACGTTTTTCGGCATTCACAGGACGGGTCCCGGAATGGATCCACTGAGGATACCGTGGTTCTACTGAATTCTATTTGCCGATCCAGAAAGTTGTGGATCGTACCCTCACCTCCCCCCTATGTTCACCTTCAGCAGAGATAATAGTCACATAGCAAGCCTGGCTACCATTTAGAGAAGTCACTTAAAAAAACAACCCTCCAACTTCCAAGAAACCAGGATGTGCCTTCTGGGAGTTGTAGTGTCAAAAGGGAGCCTTTCCCACCACCTGCTAGGACAGTCCGTAGCACAGTTCTGACTGCCGAGTTCTGAACCTTTTTCGGAAACACCGTGCAGGGGGACTGGGACTTGATCGGCTTCACCAGCCAAGGAAACCAAACAAGTTTCTATCGGCTGATCCGAATACTTAAAAAGAGGGGGCAGACGCACCGTAACCAAAGCACACTGTTTTTCTAGCTGAGACTTTCAGAGTTGCCAGGCAAACACCAAGTTGATTTTTTCTTTCTTTTTTGCAACAGCCTTTATTTACTAACTCTCCCTCATCTGCCCTTTTAGGAGACAATTATCAACTAAGGCGTGAGGACAGAAAGGAGGGCTAGGAATCACCGCTCGGTCTCATCACCTGCCCTGAGCCCTTTTAGCAAACAGCAGCCCGGCTGAGAAACGGAACGTTCTGTTGTTTTCAGAAAGATTACCTGCGCTGGTTCAAGATTTTTTTAAAAATCAATGAGTTCCACCATTCAGCAATACTGTTAATATGAGTGAACATGTCACAGAAATAAATAGGCAAGCTTCTGAATCCTCCCAAACTTTTCTTTTGTGTTGTGTTTGTTTTAGCAATGGGTGGATCAGATACATAATATGGGAAGGAACAGGCCTGTCCACAAAAGGGGATGGATGATTGTCGTGGCCATGAAATCTACCGCCAGACGGGGTCCCAAGGCAGAGACTGGAGACTGAATGAATCATTGCTAGGTGTGTAGGTATCAGGTTACGCCTAGTAATAAGCACAGAGACAAAACAGCAGGGGCTGGTCTCGGGGTTTTTTGGAATACATAAAGGCTGGCTACCATCCAGAGCTGCTGATGAGCTTTAGAGTCGAAGGCATTCAGAATTTTACACTCCCTCGTGGCCTTTTCACGGGTCCTTTTCTATTTGAAACCGAACAGTCACTTGATTGAAGAACACGGAATTACTGCAATTATAACCGGGGCAAAATGCCAGCTTCAGAACACAAAGCAACCACTTCTGTTTCATTACCCAAACTAACTTTTCAGAAATATCGATGTCCATGCGGCCTGTTTCAAGGCCACCCGAAACATTAACGTGAAATGTGATCCTCTGGTTCCAGATGAATTCGGAGGCTCACATCCAATGCTTCAGAACACAAAGCAACCACTTCTGTTTCATTACCCAAACTAACTTTTCAGAAATATCGATGTCCATGCGGCCTGTTTCAAGGCCACCCGAAACATCAACGTGAAATGCGATCCTCTGGTTCCAGACGAATTCGGAGGCTCACATTCAATGGGCAGCGTCAGCTCGACCACTGGCCCTTCTCCAGCTATGGCTTGAGTAGCCCTGCTCGGCCATGTTAAGCGCAAGGATCGCATCCTTTCCTGTACCACCCCGCTCTCTGTGCTACTCGACGCGTTCGTTCACAAAACCAGTCATTTCTAAACATCGTTCAAATTCCCATCCTGTGCTGAAGTTTAGATCTGTCTCGTGATATCTGGGGAAATGTCACAAGGTAGACGGTTTTTCTGCTGCCGCAAATCATAAGACTTGAGCTAATGGATGTCAAAAGCTAAGAAGAAGCTCCTGACGGTAATTATTGCTCCACTGGGATGTGGACCACTCTGGAAGGTGGAGGACTCTCTGGCGTCGTTGTTAAATGCTGTCAGGTCGCCTCCAACTCAAGGTGACTCTAGGAAGGATCAAAAAAGGTCCTGTCCTTAACAGCCCTGCTCAACTCTTGTAGACTTGAGCCTGTGGCTTCTTTTAGGGAGTTCCTCCATCTCGTATTGGGTCTTCCTCTTTTCCTGCCGCCTTCCACTTTTCCTAGCATGATTGTCTTTTCCCACTTGTTCATCTTTTTGGCCATCCAGGGTCTCTGGCACTTTTCCTAGCATGATTGTCTTTTCCAGGACCCACTTGTTTATCTTTCTGGCCGTCCAGGATCTCTGAAAAGCTCTCCTCCAGCACTTTCATTGCGCGTTATAAAACAGAACGTAGATGGCCGTCTGTCAGGGATGCATTAGCCGCAGACTCCTGAAGTGGCAAATTGACCACCATGAGCCCCTTCCAGCTCTAAAATTCTGTGACTAACAGGTGTACTAATTCCAATGGGAACTGTATGGCATTTCTCCAGATGCTGAGAAAATTGCCAGCATGCATCGTTACTGGCCATACTAATGTGAGTTAAGTCCACTAGCAACTGGTAGGATAAAAAAAAATACCTGATCTCCTAGACCATAAAAATGAGAATCCTTGTAACTACTCCACTCCGGTGCATATTTAATCACTAATATTTGTATAATAGAAATGCCCACAGGAAACTGTTACCTAAGCCGTCGGTCACTGCCCTGCTTCCATTCTCTCTAAACAGCATGTTCAGTTGGTAGCTCACGCTGCTGAACTCTCTCGGAGCAAAGCATGGTTCCAGAAACACGATCGCTAAAACCAGAAGCAATTCAGCTTACAGGATATTAATAATAGATGGACACAAATGCGATCAATGCAAGGGGAAGCCTGGGGTATTTGCTAAAGGACGCACACGACTGAAGAAATAGCATTAAACAAAGCCAGGGAAAGAAGAGAAAAACCTTTGCAAACAAACCGCATGAAGCCTTTAGACAAGTTCTAAATGCAGCTCCAATGCACGGGGGAAAAAAACTCAACAGGAGCCCTAGAAAGGACGCTAGGAGGAAGACAAGAGGTTCAAAGCAGAACATGTCACGGGTCTAATGGAGCCTTAAGTGCTTTTTTTCCCAGGATCCCGCACAAAGCTTTCCTCCAAAGCAGGTGACCACCAGACATTTGGGGAAGGAACTGGACTGGAGGGTGAGGCCAGAGAGGACGGCAACTCTTTGGGTCGGAGTCCCGAGTTCAAGTCTTTGCTACCAAGTCCCAAATCCCAAGCCTGAGTCCCTGTTAAAAACAAGCTCTCTCCCCCCCCAGCAGAAAAAAGGGAAGGGTGGGTGGGTTCGAATTTACTAAAAACAAGCTCTCCCCCCCCGCAGAAAAAAAGGGAAGGGGTGGGTGGGTTTGAGTTGAGACGAAGTCACTGAAAAACAAAAGGTGAGTTGAGACCGAGTGGAGTCAACGGAGCAATTTAAGACTGGATGAGGCCCTCCTTTGGTTTAAAATCTAAAGAAAGATGCTACCAAATAGCGAAGCGAAAACTGGTGCACAAGCTTACGTGTACTTTCCTGTAATGCAACACAGTTGCTCCAGTATCCCAATTTCTCTTTCCTCCATCATCTCAGATCTTTTTTCCCACAAACTATTTAACATTTTCAGCATTTAACTATCATTCCATCGACGGAAAACTCTTTATGTAAAACCACACAACTAGAGGACAAGAATATTGCTCGAGATTTTTTAAAAAGCTGTATCGACTCGGCTGCCTTCTGATCCCCCTGTGAACAAAACCAGATTCCTATTCTCCTTGCTGTTTCAGTTTTTATAGGGCAACATTTCCTCCACTTCTTCTGTCTCTCTCTTTTTTTTAAAGCAGTCTGTTGATTTCAAAAGACGGCTGAAAAATAACAATAATAAATTCAATTGGAGGCCTCAAAAGAAACATCCTTTCAGACATGATTTGGGTTTTTTTTA